CCTACGCATTTGTTCTAAGCCTATCGAAAAAAATTGGAGGCAGCATTGATGCGTCCGGTTGACGTTATGTTCGTTTGACCGGAATCGACCTTATTCGAAATTGGAATTATATTGTACCTTTATCCTCTCTAGAAATCTTTGTCATGCGTCTTCATCTGTGTGTAAGAATACTGTCCCCCAGAAGTAGCAACATTTTATATTTCATTTAAACGGGTCCGCTGAGCGCGTCAAACGTCTTAGAGGGAGGCGTTGTGCAGTCACTACAATCTAGGAAATACAAGAAAACAGGGCGGGATGAGCGCTGAGAAAGTCCACTCAACTCAACCAACATAGTTGTGCCACATTTGTGCATACCACCTGGGACAAGGACACGCCTCCTCGCATGTGACAGTCGGACTACCGAGAAGGAGCCACCAGGCCGCGTCAGTCACTGCGTTTAGTATTATCTTGAGCCACTTTTATTCGAAATTATGATAGGTATACGATAAGAGTGAGATAACGGGGCCTTGCGACCAAGCCTGCGCGGCTTTACCTTTCTTATATAAATCTAAATACTTTGTAACGGCCGCTTATATCACCTAACAGTGCGTTGTTTCGGGTTTCGAAAATAAATCCTATGACAATCCAAGTAATCTCTTAACCTAAACTGATTGCTATTTTTAAAAAAATTTAAAATATGCTCAGGAAAACATGTCTCCGAATTAGTTGATGGTGCTTTCTGCCAAACCAAAATGAGTTTCAACGGCTGACATAAGAAACATGGAAAAATATGAGGAATAAGCTGAAGGTCATTACGTGTCGACCTGGAAGTCATATTTTCTCGAAGATTTACCGATCAGCATTGGCATCAGTTTGTTGCAAGTGTTTATTGCTGAACGTTCTGGAAATAAAATTTTGAAGAAACGATACCTGGGAATTGTGAATAAAATGCGGTCGTTGCTTCTATTAAAAACGTTATATTTGTGTTAAAACACTTCGTGAAATTTTCACTCATATTCTCGGGATTCTGCTTTGTGAAATTCTTGACAATTACATGGGTTTTAATGATCATCCGGCTAGGATATCAAAACGGTAAAATTCATTGCCAGTACCTCCTGGTGAAGTGTGTCTCGTTCGTATCATTGCATTCCCTCCCCCATTCAAGACCGAAATTCGTCGCCAAATAGGATCCTGACTACCCCTTTTATTTTTCATACTAGAATTCCGCTAATGGAAATTAGTCTCGTTTCCTATGGCAGACCATGAAAGCCTTATTTTGGAAGGGGTCTACACCAGCTTCCTTGTCTGTTTCATTCCTAAATGACAACAGGTTGCCTCAACAACGTCATCGTTACTCTTAGCTTTTACCTAATCAGAACTTAGTGAATACAACTGTTGCTCAGGCTATCTGCCCGTTGCTCTAATATCTATTTGATGTCATTTCCGGTCGGACTAAGCGCCAACCGGTGCAATTCTTGTAATGGACTATATGCAGCGTCGGCCTACTTTAAATGCGCTTGTAAAAGGCTAGGCCCCACTTGCTTTGACTGAGAATGCATAATTTTTACTGCGTTACCCGAGGCTAGCAGTTATGCTGTGTTGGCCTCGTCTAAATCAGCAAGAAACACCTCATCGTAACCAGTATGCCCACTGGCTTAATTAAGCGGCTCAGGACTTTGTAATGGTTCGATTGATATGGAAACAATCGCTGCCCCTTCGAGGATATGTTAGAAGTAGGTTTAACGAAAATACTCCCAAACATCTTCATCCCGGATTCCCCAGTAATTTTTACTCTCAAACACTTCACCTGGCGCGATATTACAGGGCATACCACACCTCATCCTGTTGTTTACTTTTGCGCCTCCAATTATACCGCATTGTTGGGTTCCATCCCCGACGTTGTGATCGATAGAGGACTAAAAAAACTACTCGGCGCTCATCTAGCATAGTCATTCAGCAATATGTCCGAAATGCATGACGAAGTATGGCATGACCCAGCTTTTCCTTGAGGCAGTAGTATGCAGTCTTCACAGATTGCTTTTTTGTCTTGCCTACAGATGCAACTATCTAGAGGTAAAAGATTCCCCTATTCAACTCCTCTTTATCCGTGGCACTTTCGGATTATTTATTGTTTGTAGTTAAGCAACCGTCCTTGAGGGATCTAGTATGCACATCAACCCGAGCCGGGGCCGCTGGTACATCGTCTTCCGCTCAGCGTGGACCGTAGAGCGATATTGCAGTTTGATCTGGACGAAAACGTATAGGACACATTTCCGTGACTCAAGTACTAAAATGTCTGACTTAAGCGTCCTATAACTAGCTGACTCAACTTGGTATCCTTATTCTTGCCACCATGGGGCTGGGGAGTGAAATATTGAGAGCTAACAAGCAAACGCGATCGTTTGAATTCCCTCGTCTCTGTTGGGGACAAGTTTCGACTAACTGAGGGGCAAGAGTATCCTGCTGTCGACATTCCCGTCGAAGAGACTTATATAGGGTAGTGCGAAGTTTTAGCGGCCTGGCTAGATCACGGCATCCAAGTAAACACGGATAAAACCGAAGTGTCCGTGTGGAATCCTCTGGCTCTGCGAATAGTTTTTTTGAGAGTTAGATATTCCTGTAAATATCTGGGACGCCTGCTGTCGAAACTCAGAATAAGGGTGATTTTCTAGTTTCTGCAAATCTCTTAAATCAGTAATATGGCTACTAAGCACTTTAGGCAATTTAATTGATTTTATTGCCTTTACGTGAATTGCTAGATATCAGATTGTCTTTTGCTGACCTCGGGTTCTTTCTACTTACCAGATGTCGTATGCATTCGCTGAAAGGCTCCATATTTATATTCTAAACGTGGACAGGTGCAAACTTTCTGTTTTCACACACGACCCTATGTGTTGTTAATTTTGTCAAACAACTGGTCATTTTATTATACTCTGTTTGTTTTAGTGAATGCCACAACGCAACGGATCGGATAAAAATCCGTGTTTGGTACGTTTTTGCATGTTTTTAACCGGATCTTTCACGCACGCATTGACGTCAGACGTTTCAGCTCCAGGCGTGAGACGTGAAACGTAGCGTTTCATTCTCATTATGTAAACGGTTTTTAAAGTAACTCGAAGATAGTGATCATTGTCTGTTCCTGATTGAATTACGCAATAAGCGAAGGTTCAGTTGTAGATGGAAACTCTGACCTAAAACCCCGACAGCAAAGAAATTTCTGCAAAGGAAGAGCCAATATTCCCAGCTGATTGCTGTTCACAATGTGTTTCTTGAAGGCATTTCGGTGGCTAAACTGCGTAATCCTATCTGCTGTTATAACCCTCCACCCAACCAATTAACCGTCCAGTTGTCCAGCTAAGCAAATCTTACGCTTCCTGTGCGAACATGGGTTCACTCCTGGGACGAAAGACTTTATGGGTATTATAGTTAAAGTGCCCTAACTCATTGCTCATGCGGGATTGAGGCAAAACACGACACTATCTGTAGCCTTTCCGAATGGCAGTGGAGCTGGAAAAAGAAATGGGAAGAAGACCAGGAAAGCTCTCGCTAAACTGTTGGTGGCTCTTGCCACAGAAGAAAAGTACCAGTGTTCATGTGCTTAACCGATGGAATCGTCCATGTTCTCCTTTTATTTCTTTTTTGTCAACCTCTCTGTTTTGGTGACCAACTGCCCTGCTTAAGCCACTTGTCCAGTTTTCACTTTTTTCGCATCACTTCACATTTTAGGGATGAAGATAATGATCTGCGCTCAAAGCTGCGCTCAAAGCTTACGTCAGAATCCGACGACTTCCTGGGCCAAACGATAATTGATGTCCGGACGCTCTCCGGCGAAATGGATGTTTGGTATAATTTAGGTGCGTTCGCAGATGATCTGAAAATTTATGTTGTCTGGACGTTGTAAAAACCCATGTTATATGGATTACCCTATTTGCATGCCAATATTTAACAACCGTTCTGCCCAGAATGCGAGATTTGAGCACAAACATCGTTTGCGAATTAAAAGTAGGATTCCAGTCAAATGCTCAGTTCTCATAAGAACCGTATTTAAAAAGGGGTCACTGGTTAAGGAGCTGACTTTCAATCAGAAATAGTCTTCAACTGCTTAGCTTTACAGAAATTGTAACACCAATTTTGAATAAATAACTAGGAACAAGCGTTTTTAATCTCAGATCAAAAGTTTATATTTATATTTTAGCTGAAATCCATTATCTTTAGCGGGATAACTGCATAAAATTCACGAACTGTGAACAGGTAGAAAGCAGCATTCTCATACTACATGGTTCAGCTAGGTGTAGAAATGATGCTACGATACTTGAATTAACATACAGTGGGTAACCGATCTTATGAAATGTATGCTAACATTCTGAAACGGGTTTCCGATTAGAAAGGATTATTTAAGTGGGGCTTTAATACTGAGTATCATGAGGCATAATCCTATAACAGTTCTGACTCGGCAGGATGTCGGCCTTAGAATGCACTTCTTTTTTATCTCCTGTAGAAACAATACTCGGTAAAAAATGCCTACCTAACTAGCATGCATTTTTCACACCGATTTTCGGTGGTCTTATAAATTCGAATATATTTTGTAAAAAAAAACATTAACGAAAATATGTTTGCTTTCACTCGTTTGACAGAGAATCACGCCATCTTTGCATTTTGTAAAATATAAACAGAGTATAATGAGTTTTAAGGAAAGTTTTCTAATTCCCGAATTAATTGGAGCCTGATTAGCCGTTGCATGAACACCTAATGATTTCAGTCTACAAGGTGCATGCGTTCCGCGTTAGAAAAATAATATATTCTTCAATGCCTCTAAAAAGACGCCATATTGAGTCCATAAATGTTGCAATGGATGCGGACTATATTTTACATTTCATGAGTAGAACTGGTAAAAGGACAAATATGATGCTGTATGAATGGACATTGTATGCTCTAATTAACTCTCATAATTGAAAACTTTTTTAAAACCTAATTATACGCTTTTCTTGAGCACAAAATTATAAAAAAGACGTGACTCTCTATTAAACGAATAAAAGAAGGAATAGTTTTTTTCATTCTTTTTATAAAATATATTTTAATTCATAATAACATCGAAAATCAGTATGAAAATGCATGCTACGTAAGTAGTCATTTTTTTACCAAAGACGGTTTCTACAGGAGATTGAAAAGAAGTGCATTCAAAAGCCGACATCCTGCCGAGTCCGAAATATTATACGATTATGCCGCATGTTAATCAGTACTACAACCCCACCTAAGTAGTCCTTCCTAATCGGAAGACCATTCAGAATGTTAGCATACATTTCAGGAGATCGGTTATTCACAATATCCTATGCAGCTGTGATGTGACAACATCATGGTTACTGATTATTTAACTGAGCATTTTTGATGATTTTACTTAGTTGGAAGGCGGAGACTTATTTACCTGCTACCAGGGTTACGTTAGGCTAACTACAAGATTTAGTTGTTTTCCATTTTTTGGATTCCTATTTGCTATTATTTTACTCAAAGTAGCGCCGACTGCCGCCGTCCTTGTGCGTGTTTCGGCTCGCATTCTCTCTCTTGAGTCCAAAATAATTGGTTCTCATTTTCTGTGGTTCCAACAAGAGACTTGTAACTTTGATGTTTTAACGTATGACCCGGAAAATAAGTAAATATTATTTTTCTTTGTTAGAAAAAGTTGAAAGTTTTGGGCCAACAGTTAGTACATTTGATAATAAGCATTTGATTTGATATATAAAACATTGCCGTATTTCAGCCGTATTTCTAACCCCGTATTCGACTTTGGGGTCGTATCTTACTTCGTAGCCGTACCAGCAATGGACAAGTCCCAGCCTAACCCCTAATCCGAATTCGAAACCTTACCCCTTACCCCCTAGCTTTGACCCCTAACCCGAACCCCTAACGCTAACCCCTTGCAGGTACGGCTACGAAATAAGATCTTGCCGACTTTGGTTCGCAGTTAATACAAGGCAAGGTATTGTGCCAAGTTTACTAAACTATACTAAAACCCTCCGTATAATAAAATCGTTGTGAGCCATGTCAAGCATTATGTGGACGACCAACCATAGAAGCACGTTGTCTGTAGCAGGCTGAGGCTGAGCAGGTTAGGATGCCGCGAATGCGCATTTGAAGTTGAACGTATCGGGACCTGCTCCGATGAGTTGGAGCCTCTATGGCAGGCGCCTGCTATTACCTGATATTCGGCAAACGTAGTAATCTCTCGCATTACCGTTCGTAGGCTCCAATAATTATCCCACGTTTTAGAGCATCACAGCGAAAAATAATCTGGCTTCAAGTGACCGAGCTGCATTTAGATTCTGACTGCAAACATACAGTTTAACACAAACCGATTTATTCAATTTGGAATGTTTTTCGCAAGCCTTTTCTATGTCTGTTAATAGAAAAAATAACACTCTTTTCTATCTTCAGGCTTAGCCTCTATAGATATCCGCACCACTTGTAAAATTCCACTTTATCTGAAGATTTTAAAAACACTGATGATTCTTGTCAAAGTTTATTCAAAAAATGAAATTTTTTGAAAAACTCAATTTACTACCCACCCAGTCCGCATGTCTGTTTACCGTATACATCTCATGTCGTATTGGAGAAACCGTATTTGACGACATGCTATTGTGTAATTGATGGTCAGGTAAATGTACGGAAAAGCTTTAATTTCTTTAGAGTGGCCTTGGCTTGTGGTGTTTTACCTGGTCCGATCATTTAAACATGCTTTGATTGAAGCTTTAAAATGACATTTTCCCAGCATAAGCCCGATGATTGACATCCTCTGGCAAAGTAGTATCTCCATTCCCGATTTTCATTTTTAGAAAAACGGACGGACAAAAGCGCAGTTTCAGGAGCTATACGCCTTCACATCTCGGTCGAGATCAAAGGCGAAGAGAAGGTTGCCCCATACCACGTTCAGTACACCTGCCTCCATGAGGTACGTCCTACCAAGTTCTTTTTCGACTGTATTAGCCAGGACACTGACGTGCATTGCGCTAAACACGTGTGAACTGTCTCCTGTCCATCCGAACCACCGCCATTTAAGTGATCCAGCGCTTAAAAATGCCAACCTTTTTTTCACAAACATCATCACCGTCACCGCCGTTGGCTTCCTTCCTAAGAGGTAACTACAAGTAACCTGGGCGTTATATTCGACGAAGTTGGGTACCGTGGCGTTAATCCGTTCACCGTAATAGCTTGGTCATCGAATAAAATATGGTGGTTTAGTGATGAGCGATCACCCTGTGTGATGCGTTGTCGTAGAGTCTTGTTAAAATGGACTGACCTTCGCCTGCCAACGATACCCCAATCAGATGACTCAGCACCCTGACTTTAATAGAGTTATTCATTTAGCCTTAGCGCTCTCGGGTCACAGACTGCAGGCCGCGTGGCAGCTTGAACCATTGTACAACGTGGCTGTCCACATTTCTAGTTAAGGAAAGACTGTACGCAATTGAATAACTGGTCTGGAAATCCGAGTATTTTATTAACTTCTGCTTTCCTTTTTTCAAACTTATTTTACGAACAAACCCTCCAACCGTAGTGTTTCAGGTTACTAGTAGATAATAATGCGCCTGGTTGAGCAGCCAATCAGAAAAGGGAGTAGGCTTCATGGGCAGTTTAATATTTAACAGTATCATGCTTCAACAGCCGTCCAAAATTCCCATGAGTCGGTATATATTTTCCTTCCGCACGCGTTTGTTTCGCATAATGACTAACCGCCACGCCAGAAGATGTCCCCCTCTACTCGAATTAAACTTGTCTGGAGAGTTAAGACGTTCTTCGAGAGTGTGATATTGGTTGTTGGTGGGACACTTTATTGCGTTCCAGCACGTAGTTTGCCTCATTATTATTGCCGACTCATTAAACCCCTGCTGTAAATTTCGCGTTAATGCGGCTTTCTTATTTTACTGCCTGATTTGAATTGTGTACTCAGCTGCCTCACCGTTTCCGTCGGCGGGAATACACATTGAGCTCAAGGGGTAGAGGGTTGAGTGTACTCAATGCAGTAGTTTCACCTCAGAGCTGAGATGCATTTGCCACTACTTGTCTGTTTTCCTTCACGGCGTGCGTCTTCGTTCGCACAAAGCACTCTTCGCATCATTTTTGCATGGTGCTTAAAAGCTTTTAGCATATGAGTCTGTCATATTGCATTTGTTGGCAATTGTTTTGGAGACAATGCTTGCTTTACCTGCTTGAACAGCTTGCAGGCGAAGAATCTGCATGTAACTGATGCGCTTATATACGTCAAACGCCTTCCCCATTGATTGGAATGTTGGTCTTCCAGGTTTTCCCCAGGAAAGAATACATTTTCGTCTAGTGGGCCTTCAATGTTTGCCACTGCGAACCTTAAAACGAAGGTCACACGCAGCAAATGAAACCTTATTTTAGCCTACCTGGGGTCTCTCCTACACGTCTATCTTCTACAAACACCGTCTTCTAAATGCCCAGGCCCTCCGGTCTGAGAAATAGAAAGCGGCTCCCAGCGCAACGGTAATGCATATGTAGACATAACTGGGTGGGGATTTATTAAATCGGTGACGGTATTTTGACACCATACATGTTACCCGCCATTCAACAAGTCATCCGCAGCCGTCCGGCAAAATCGTTGACCCGGTTCGCCGGAACAATGTTTCGGGTTGCTCACCTTTAAATCCAACGCACTGCAGAAACAGCCCGCTATCCAGACTTCCCAACTAACCACCCGCCACGACTGAACGGGTTTTTGACGATCAGAAAGGCACTGCCTGCTCGCTCTTGCGGAATCAACCCAGGGCCAAGACGAGACTTCCCCTGTTGATCATGCCTAACTGACTATCTGGTTAAAATTGCTTTCCTCAGCTTGACTAGCATACTTTCCGTGTTCCTTGGAACTCTGCGTTTTCACTATTCCCCTCATGTTTTCGCTGTTTTTGGTTCTGTACACCAAAGTCGATGACTAGTAATACTCACAGAACGCCTTAATAAGTACATCCCTGAATGATAGGAGGAACTCATTGATCGTTCTTACGGAACTCACTCGTTACGTTGTGCCGTACGGGCTCTCTCCCGGGTCTAACCAACAGACGCACCCCTGGGCATGCTAGAGGCAGAATTTTACTACCGACAATTATCTATGATCGGAAATGGGAGTATGAAAATGTTCATCAATACTACAGGTGGTATTGAGTAAAATATCACTGGGAGGTTTCTTTGGCCCTGACCGAAACCTTCCTAACCCTACGACTGGCCTGAACCCTAACGCTAATCCCCTCCCCCCCGGGAATTTAGAGCTGGGTCACTTGTAGTACGGGTCCATATTCCCTTTCCTTAATCTTATCTGAAGTTAGCTCTCACCGACGTAACTATTGCTTGATAAAGAGTCGCTATTTTGTCACCAGCTTTTTTGTCGACCAATGTTTAATTTGATAGCTCGGCCGAAAAAAAACGACACTGACAGCCATTGTCCCGACTTACACTGTGCCCAGCCCACTTCCTTTTTAAACTCGAGGTACGGATAATAAGATCGATTCTAGACTTTTAGGAGCGATGGCTGATATAATTTACTCAACGTCCTCGTGGACCACATTTGCTGGCCTCCTAAGCATATGCAAACTACCCTTTATAAGCGTTACGTATCTTTCACTGAAAAAATTTTCATAGGAGCTACCATAATCGTGCATCCTAAATTGCAGTCGACAGGCGAACCAAGTTATCTTCTCTGATGTTGACCCTCCAAGTAACCGATTCGCCTCGTCCTAACAGTTTAAAAGTGTCTGATTTACAGCATGTGGACTATATCATTGCATGTTAACCAAAATTCTAAAATTTGGTTTCGGTTGGAAATGATTGCTAGGGTTAGATTGTAAGATTTATTATCAAGTAGCACACACAAGAACGTTTGCTGTTGAATACGCACCTATCCTGCCGTCGGCAAAAACTGCACAGTGCAAAGGGCTGCTTATGTAGTATGAATGTTTGCATTGATTTTGGTGTCCTTGAGAATTTAAATATATTTTATAGAAAACTTGCTCAAAAATACCCTTTCGTGCGCTTATTTGATAGTAATCCACGTCCTCAAATATTGCACTTAAGAATACGTAAGATATCAGGTTTGTAAAGTGCCTTTCAATGTTAATATTTTGAGTCCGCCCTGCCGTTGCATGTGCGTCTAGGGTTTTCAAACTCCACATTGACGCAAATCATATTTTTTCAATATAATTTTGAAGATGATTTACAGTGTTTAGAAACGTTTGCGGTATGTGTAAACCATGCTCTATACTTCGTAAGGTTTTACGCTTTTTTAAAAACCAACATCCTGGCATGAATGGCGTATCTTGGAACTATGCTGCACAATAATAAATATTACGACTGCACTTAGTTAATCCATGCTAATCGAACTAAACATGTTAGAATTTTATTTAACATTTCATGACATACGAAACCTATTCTGGCAAGAAGGATATGCGCTGAACCCGCACTGGCACGGCCCAATCTCTCCTTCACCTTTTGTCAGCTAGCAATGCCGAGTCCGGATCAACCCGACGGGCGATGTCACCGGGCGTATCCGGCTGACGTGGCAAAAGGTTTACAGCTAGCAACTTCTTTTGGTTGACGCAGTCAAGGCCGTTTGAGCGACTATAACCTTGTGACGAGTTGTTTCGCATAATATATTAGGCAACAGTTGGTCTGGTACGTGAAAGTATATTATTCCGAGCTCGGAGGCGTCTAGAGTGCGGGCCTCAGAAATCAAGTTTCAGTCTTCGCATCAAGAGTGTCCAAGAAGCTGCTACAAAGGATAGTGACTCTCCCTAGTTTTTTTTTACTGTTCACTTTGTCGGCTACCTAGCCCATGGCACTTTTACCCAAAGCCTTCAAAAGGTAAAATTGCTCAAGGCAAGACTGCCACAATTTGGCACTTCGAGGCTACACATCGGTTAAATTACATAAGTAATTTTGTGGGCATTTCTGCAATCCGGACAAGGGAGGTTTTAAAGCCTATTAGTTTTGCAATATGATACTAAAGGGTTTTCCTAAATGAATTGCCTGGATTCAGTGAAGTCCTGCAAGTTGATAGATTTCATGGTCTCTCAGACCTCATGCAGAAACTCGGAGACTGACACAGCATAAAACACTTTATTCAACCCACGACAGGACATATCTATTTAATGGAGGGTAATAACTGCAGTATTTTGATTTCATTGTATCATTTTACTGAAGGCCTGCAATTTTCATATTTCATTAACTATTAGACTCCGAAAATTGTGGTCTTATGGCTTTCTGAACCAAATGCCAGTCTCGATTTTATTAAAAACAGAGCTGTAACACTAATATGACAGGCGGGAAGTTCCCTATGACTATGGTTTTGTCGGCTGCCACTCAATGTCACCACACTAACTAATCGCCACTTGTCCCCGGAAATTGATCTAGCTAGCTAAAGAAGTGGTCTGCTTTTATGCATTAAGGGTTTGGAACGTTGAATTCTAGGGCAATGTGGTCGCAGACTGTTAAAAATGTTTCATTGTATGGCAGGCTTTCTAGATTATTACTAGAACCAACTCAGCTTACAAATCACAGTTCTATTAATTAGAAAATGTCCTTTATCGGTGAAGGTTTTGGTGATACCAGTTTAATTATGGCATTAAAGATCTTGTCGTCTTAAATTATACGATATAAAGTAGGCGAGCTAACTAATAAAATGTCAATCGAAATTATGAAATGTCTTCTCGTTTCGAAACGATTGATTAAGTAGGGCTGTAAAACGAGTCACCTTTTGCAGCATAATTCTAATATAGTTCAGTTACCTTAGGATGCCGGCTTTTAAAGACCTTTAAAGAACTCTAATCTGCAAAAGTGGTTACTTTAAGTGATTTACTTTAAGTGGTTACTTTAAAGAACTCTACTATGTGAAAGTGTTTACTTGTACAGCATGAATTTTCTCATTGATTTTCGATGCCCTTAAAAGTTCAATTATATTTTTTTGGAAAGAATGCATAAAAATGCTCCTTCTGTCGCCCATTCTGTAGAAGATTACGTCTTCTTCCAATTTTATACCTGTAGAAAGGATATAATTTGATTTTAAAAAGTTCCCAATTGTGAGATTTTTAATATTATGAAATAGCCGTTCATAAAACGTCATGTCTCTGCATTTAAAATGTGGTTCGTAAAGTTACCAATATGGTTCACATCCACTGCTAAATTTTATGAACCCCGTATAGTCACCTCTTGATACCGCAGAAAAATGTATGGTTCTCCGTACGCGGAAAATATGTGGCTTGTAGTTTGGAAACCTTGAATGCAAGTGTAACGGCAGGTCGGGTTGTAAATTATTCGGTGATTGGAAACGTATTTGAAAGCCCATTTTACCCTTTCTTTGAGCATAAAATTGGAAGAGGACGCAATTTTCTACCAAATGAACAAGAAGTTGAATATTTTTATGCATGGTTTCCATGAAATATAACTGAATTTTTGGAAGCGTCAAAAATTAATGAGAAAAATGTATGCTACCGAAGTATTCACTTCCTACAGAGTAAATTTTTTGTATTAAGCCGGAAGAATGTTTTTTCGAACGTCGGCATCCTGAGATAGCTGACTTTGTATAGAATTACGCCGCGCGATTATTAGTTTTTCAAACCTACTTAATCTATATTTTTGAAACAATATATGTCGAAGGTTCGGTCAAAATTTCACGAGTCAGCCCACATATTGCAGGTAAATCTCAACCTTATTTGCTGATTTAACGTTGACCTCCGTCTTGACCTTGATGGGAAATGCAGAATGTCCAGACGACACTAACCGCTAAGGTTTGCTCTAAACTTTATCCCTGTACGCTTTAAAGCTGTTAACGTTACAGTCACCGTTTACTGAAGCGACGTACCTTAGCGCAAGTCTCTTAATTATTTTCCACAAGTGCATATTGCAGAATGCAAGGTTGATTTGAAAAAGGCTAAAAAAAATGCAAAAAGGGAGTGCCGCCAAACACAAGGGAGATTAGATTGGCCATTGCCGACAGATAAGCCGTCGTAAACCAACGCTACCAAACCCCTGCTGCATGAATCGCCGGCTGCGTTTTGGATTAGCTTGCTTCGGTTAGGACACAAACGTTCTGTTTCCTTAATATCTCTGAATGGTTTCTGTTGTCGAACGCATACGCCTGACTCATTTATTTCTTTAGGAATACTTGTGCAGAGTCTCGCTCATAAACAATAATAAAACAGTTAAATCTAGTTGACAGGTGGGGTTACACAACCTACCGTTGCCCATAATGATATCCCTAAACTGTCCTCGTCCTCTTCACCAAAGTAAGAGGACAGCAGCTATTCCTGCTTACCAGCAGGAACAACCACCACACTGTATGTTGGTATACATAGATATATATTTATGACAGTGGGCGCTCGTCGATCAGGTTACGGAACATGCTCGTTCCGTTGTGCCTTGGGGCTCATACTAGAACCGAAATCCTAAAAACTTAAATATAAAAAGACTGAACGTTGAGATTAATGTTCGTCCGTGGATGTATAGGTTATATACAAAAATAGTTAATTTTTTTTAACCTTACATGGCAAAAATGTTCTACTGTTTGTTGAAGTTTATGCCAGTGGGCATCCATTTCATCTGGTCTTTCGATACACGTGAACCTCAAGGGATTGGAGTTTTTACAAATATTTGCTTCGAAAGTAAATGTAATTCCTGGAAATGCGATGTTGAGGTTATTATGAAGCGTTCGTAACTGATCCTTCTCAGAGATTATAAAGAAATGCGATCTAGGGGATTTTGACGTACGAGTGGCCTGATAAGTTCCATTGCTCTATGGATTATTCGATCGAAGCGCAGCATGAAGGAGGTTATAATCAGGTTTGGCTTGCCGTCTCCGTAGTCGTGCCGGTGGCAGCATGCATCACTGTTGAGCTTGATCTGTCCAGAGAAAGCTTTATAAGGTCATAATTCAAAATCATGGATGAGTTAAAAGATTTATCTACCTTGGGTAGTCGACCCTCGGAAGACGGAGGGTTAGTGAACATGTTGAAAATGAGGACCATCCGTAGGAGGATGAACTGCATTTTTGGCTGCAAAACCATATTACCGATACAAGCGAAGATGCGAGTTCCAGGAACTAGTTGCTTTGTCGGAGAAACTGGAGGGCTGCTCCGAACGCGAATTGCCGAACACGCGGCAGCGGTACGGAGAAATGACGCCAACTCTCAATTTGCGGCCCATTCGACGAGACCCGGCAACACATTCAAGTTCTATGAGGCCGAAATTCTCGTGAGAGGGGATAATCGCGTGAGCCGCGAGTTGCTTGAGTCATGGTTCACGGGACCTCAGTCTATCAACAAGTGCAACGACATCCTCACTCCATATTCCGTGCTGAGGCATAAGCTAGCCAAAGCAATTGACAACTCGGGGAGCCAGATGGCTGAACAATCATCACGCCAGCATCCAACACGGGTGATGACATTTCGGCTATTAACAACTTGCATGCCGGCCATCAAGCAATTAGCGCACCAGCGGGCAGCCATCCTGAATGAAGGGGATCGCTGTTAATTGCTATAGGTATGCGGTAGCATAGCTACTGCATCCTATAAATACTGCTACCTCCTGTGCACGAGTCACCCTTTTCTGCCACTGTCTTTGATGAGGGGTTCAAATGAGAATTCGAAGTGTCAGGCGAATAAAGCCCTTGTTCAAGCGATCGCTTCTTTTTCTGATCAAGAACCATATTAATTCACTCGAACAACACCATGACTGCGTGGATTTCCGGGTAATATGTGCGCTCAACCTGGACTTTGATTTTTAAAATCCACGCTGATTTCCGTCCATATCCAATGTTTCGGGACATTGGAGATATTATCTTTTTAAGGAACAACCAAATTTTAACAATCGCGCTGACTGCACCAGAATCTATGCACTGTTGCGTCTTCATGACGTCTTTTTCTCAGGACCTTCGTTCCATGATGAGTGAGCCGAGTTTGATGTCGCGTTCTGTCACAGAGTATCGTAGATTATTCGAAACATCTCTGATGCATCCTAATCACAGAGGGAAAAACTTTTCTCTGTTCATGGTCCCCTCTTATTTTGGACAGGTAAACACCCGTATGGCCGGGGTAGGCATTCATATTGGGGTCCACGCAGGCATGCATTCTGCTGCAGGAAGAGTGACACTCGACTGAGAACTTCATGAATGGGCACGTCCATTTGCCAATCGCTTATCAAGCATTGCGTGAACTAATCGGTAGCACAGTTGAAGGTCATTATCGGCAGAGTTCAACAAAGCATTAGATGAATCGTACAGATTCTCATCCCTTGACTACGGGCTCGTGCGAGAGTCCGAAACGTCGCAATCATATTCCTGTCTTCTTCTATTCAGTAGTGTGAGCTGCGCGTATTTTCTACCATTCAGAAAACATGCACTGGTTAAGACAACTGCATCCTCAATTAAAAGTACTTAGAAGTTCTTTTTTCATTCTCTTTCTTTCTTCACATTTGCGTCTATTTTTTCCATCCCTGTACTTTAGAACATCTTCTATTACTTGTGCGAGACGAACAAGAATAACGGTGAGCCGGAGGTGAAAGTCGTGGATGTCAAAGGGGTAAGGACTGTCCAGTTTGCCTACGAGACTTCGAACATGAATTTGATGCATTTCAATTGTTACAGAGAGCAGCATAATATTTTGAGATCTCACTGAAGATGACTGCAGCCTTTCAAAATGCCAGCTCTATTGTGCACAGGATTTCCAATCGCGAATTTCTCGAGCGAAAAGGCGGCCTGCGTAAATGCAGTTGCATTTGAAGATCGTGTTTTTTAGTGTTTGAGTGGACCAAAGGACTTTGCATCTCCTGATCCACCATAGGCGAAGATCAATGTTAGCTGAATCGCATAGCTTGATTCACTCACCTCTGGTGGCGAAGGCCACGTACCGTACAATGAAGATTAGTCTCATATCTTGGCGGAATGCATCGAGCTAGGTTTCCAGCCGTGATAAAATGTTGCACTTGGACTAGATCCTATAACGTTAGAAAAGTTGCTGGTCCTGATGGTTCTACAGTTTCTACTAGCCCATATATATTTATTAACCCGTGGGATAGGTATTAGTGGGAATTCCACGGTTGCCAAAACATGAATAAAGGGATAAAATGTTGACAAAATAAAATATGTAAAGAATCCCTAATTCTCATTTTATATGGAATTTAAAAAAGGTGTCCATTTTTCCGTTGTTATTTCGTCATATGGGCGTCTTCATTTGCGGTTATTCTATCTTAACCGTTATAAATATGGCACGGAATTAAGCTAAAATTTAAGATAAGTGAACATATTTAGTAAAGAAATCTTGTCTACCCTCTACTTAAACCAAAGCTTTTAACAAAGTTTATTCATTTGTGCTCTAGTAGATTCATCTGTTTTTTACAGAAAAGTGTGCCAAAATATTTTCCCGTATGTTTGTAGCATATTGTGCGGGTTTTATAGCTTGGTTAAGACCCAAACCTACGAACACGTTGGAGGTTGTTCGGATGCAGTTAGGAATGTTCTAAAGCACGAGGCGGACAAACGAGCGCTGGAAACTTTCAGTTCATGTAACACGTCTTTCAGGAAAATACATCATGGTAGCAAACTCTGAACTTTTTGCTCACCTTTTAATTACTCGTGTATTGTTCTACGACTGTGGGACAGCATTGATTTTTGCATACTTATCAGCCTAGGATGATTTTCTGTCTCATCGCTCTACAAATAGTATCTCGCGTAAGAAAGGGAGGTGGCTACTTTTTGCGTCACGATTTAATTTGCACTTTTTTCGTCTTCCAAATTCTCTTCTTCTTTTTCTTCTACAAGGACGACAGCTGGAAAGTCTACTTTGAGTCCCCATCGCAGGAAATCGTGACAGAGTTTGCCATTCGCTACGGCATTGAGACCATGTATCAGGCAATGACGTAAGTTCGCTCACCGAAGCTTAGAACGCCAATTTTCTCCTCCCCTTTTTCTACGTAATTTTCCCTAGTAGAAAACTTGCGTGCGAGCTCCTCCGTCCTTGCAGGTCATGCCTAAAGGCGAAAAAAGCTCGTAGGAAATGGCATTGTCTGTTTTTTCCCAAATAAAACTAAATGATTTGGCTTCAGGTGACAGTCGTGATATATTCACTTTTTTCTTTCGGTCCACTTTCGAAAAAAACATTCACTCCTTGTATCTTCCTTTGTTGAATGGTCCAAGGTAGATCAGGTGTTGAAATTCTGCAAACTAATTTTTATTCTACTATCAGTCAGCAGGATAGTACACAGAATATGGACCCCTCCCCTTCTATAAGTGGCTTTGCGCTACATTCCGGATGGCACATTCTTCTGTTTCTTCACTTTAACACCAACCCTCCTAACCGTAATACTAGTCCTCACCCCATTGGAATTTAGCGCAGCGCCACCTGCATAACCAAGGACGTAAGTTCGCGCACCCTACCGCCGACAGATCTGACGTAACGTGGCTGCCTGCGCCTACATCTAACGGTTTCAGAACTTAGTTAAGCGTCGTGGTCAGCCCTACGGAAAAGATGCTTTAATGGTTTTTTTGTCGTACACGAATATAGCGACAGTAGTGATCACGTTTTCCATAAAACATCGCTCGCTTGCGTTTACTAATGTGGTCTAATTACGGGACGATTCGTGTCTGTCAATGCGCACTTTGAAATGGTTTGACCGTTGCAAGTAGCGAGATCCACCTCTACCCCACGAAGGTATTTCAGCTGTGACTTGCATGTGACTTTCTCTACTCCACACCCCTGGTCCACACATAAATGACCAGGTTGTGCATAGTCAAGCAGGCTTGCGCTGAATTTGGCTATTTATTTTCTTCTGCACCAACCGTAAGACATGACCAGGTGAGCGCAGGGGAAATTAGACGCAGTGATTGACAAGATTTATTATCCCGTCTACGCTTGCCGCACACGACTTCATTCACGGGGCCTCATATACCGCATAACCGAGAGAGCTATAAAAGCAACATTGAAAGGGAGCCATTACTGACTGACCTCACTTCAGTAGGAGTCTCACTCCGTCAGCCGGTGGCCTTTCAACCTACGACTTGCGATCTAGCATGGCAGGTTATAGCGCATGGAATTGTTTACATTGAGTAGAGCACTGAACTGCTAAGCAAAGTAGTTTGCAGAACGAGTCCTCAGACTGTTATTGTTTGCTTTGTTTATGGTTGGCAATGAGTATCTAGCGTTGGAGTGGCATGCAAAACAAGTCAAGGCCATACTTGCTTAACTAAAGTATAAATAAGTGCTTGAAATGAAAAAAAATGTTAAAAATGGCGCTTCTTGCACGGTTCTTGATAATGCCCTTGTTACATCTTTGGGGATACATCTCTTGACAGAATAAACACCTGTTGGCATTTACTCAGACGACTTCAAATTGTTTTAACAACTGGCTCTTCTGCCAAAGTATTTGTAGGCGTTTCTGCGATTTTCGAATTAAAGTGCCAAACGCCAAATTATTGTCAATGATTACCTCGGGGTTCGCATCAGCATACATTTGTTCTAGGAGTAGAGTACCACCCAAACACACTTGACCATTCTTCGGCCTCTTTGAGTACAGATCTTAATAAACCCATCCCACATCTATTTTTGCTAATTTAAGGTGTAAATGCCTGAAGCAACATCTGGTTTATTGGTATTTTCGAGAATATAAGGCGTCAAGACCTCCTTACCAGTCAATAACAGCTACAAATACGACTCACTGGGGAAACACGAGTCGGCGTTTTTTCCTTGATAGTGAAAGATCTCACGAAGGTTAAGGGCTGTTGGATCTGTTCTAATAGAGATTCTTGAAATGCAGTTGTCCACATAGTGTTAGTGGCAAAGTTGTTGGCCCTTTCAACTAGTAACAGATCAGCTGCCACTATTCAGCATATTGAAGATATCATGTGGGAAAAGTATAACAGGGTTTCCCAATTATGACGGAATACAGAGGGCTCCATTTTGCCTTGGACCTCCTATGTATGGCACACGCTTCGGCTTGTATAAGGACACGCGATCATTGATGGATGAGTTTTCCCAAGAGGATGTCAGTTTGTGGTTCAGTGGTAGAGCGTTTAACTTATTGTCCCACTGAAGGAAGTCGTGGCTCGGACGCCTGTGCTTTTGGCCAGTCGTTTGACTCATGCCTGCCTGATGGCAGAAAATAAGGTAGCAGTGGCTACTTTAGTCCTTTTAGGCTTTCTTGGTTACACTCTTCGATAGGATATGCAGATCACAGCTGCAGGATCTACGCCTAAAGTATGAAGTGCAACTTGAGGCGTACCGTTTAATAGGGTTCTTTAAAATGGTTTTGACCGCATTCTGTATCCTGATTCGTGACATCGCCCCCTCGATCGCAATTTTATTATTATGCACATCGCAGTGCCAAGAGGCCACGTTATTGCCTCTACCCTCAATCAGGAAAACTAATCAAGTGGAATCGTTTTTCGGAATCGCACGTAAGCAACTGTCGGAATATGGACGATACAATGTGTACTTTAAATACGAGCTTTCGGAAATGCTTACCAAGATCACAGACTGACATCATATAGTCGCCCACGAAGTGCACTTCGTCAGTTTGTGAGAGCCTATAGATGTTCTGAGGTCTACCTTTGAGGATACTACATCTAAGTACCGTACACGCAAAGGGGATAAAGCAACTTGTTTCCTTTTCCCATAGAACGAGCTTACTTCTGGCACATTTACGACCAATTTGCGAGATGTAGTTGAAATCGTACACTCTCCCCCCCGTCTTTTTTTCCTCCACTAAGCCACTTCTCCTGCTTGACCACGAAGTTCATGTGCACTGGCGTTCCCGCGAAGATGTCGTGTCTCCTGGCCAACATAAACGCCTTTTACGCCCATACCTCAGCATCCAGTAACCAGACTGCCTCAGAGCGTTTTAGTGCCAGCAATTTTGGGGTGAGTTGTTGACTGTTTGGACTGTACTCGACTGCTGCCTTTTATGATTCCATATTTAACTTTTTTTAAAATAAACTACCTCACTTCTGTGATGGATGAAGTGTGCCTGATTGTCTTCGATGCGACACCTAGAGTATCAGTCACGTAAGTCTTTAAAATCAGCGGCATAAAATGACGCTGTCATTAGACGGACTGAATTTTGGTACTGTTGACTGCGGCTGCCTTAATAAACTTTTCTGTCCAGATACGTGTTAGGTGGACTATTGTTCGTCATTGCCTTAAAGCAAGTGACGCGGCAAATTAACATGACCCATAACCATCGACGTTATCGCCTATCCTAAGGAGGAATCTATATCTTACAGTCCTCATAAAATTGGACGGTTATTGAGGTGTAAAAAGAGGTTCGCTCTTAGAAGTCAAGGATTTGCTCATTCTTGATCCCACCTTGGCATATTCGAAGTAGCGCTTTCTGGCGTTCTGAGAACCCTCTATTTGTTGACTGGTGTTGCACAAGGTTCTCTATAATTGCCGAGCCGGATGTTTGTATTACGAATGATAGAAGTTCAAATGAGTTTGACACAGGCGTACATATCAGAATTTATCGTTGTCAACAAATTTCGCGACGGATTATCAGCTTCCTCATTTGTCCTTTCAAAATTGTGTTTTTAGATTACCATTTTCCGTTGATTAGTCTGTAGGCAGTAAAGGCTAACCTTGCTATTTTCCTTTGATTTTGCTGTGCAAACTCAAATCACTCTATGTTTTTTATTCATTTATCTGTGTCATGCTGCGACTCGGTTGCAGTTCATAAGCCGTAGCGAAATTTGTTGATACCAATAAATTTTGCTGTGCATGCCTGTCTCAAAGTTTGCAAAGTGCTTTATAAGATGCGTTTTCTTAGTATTCCGAAATTCCGCTCAAGCAAGCGAGTTTTATTGAAATTGTGTGCTTATTTTTGCAAACGGTTGGGATTCCCTTATTGCCTTATCGGTAGACTGAACACTGTTCTCCTGGAGGTGGCGCCAGCGGCTGGCTCTATTTTCCATACTTCTAGCGTTCGTCACGTAGGTGCTTCTTTAAAATACTCCAGAAAAGCACATTTCCATTCATACCAGAAATGCATCCTTCAGTTTCAGTGCCTTTGTTGGTAGCATTAGAATTACTGGGACTTAGAGAGTGTTTTTAAGTCGCCTTCATCGCATTTTGATTTGCTTCATCTCCACAATAAATCGGTAAGCGTAGGCAGTATCGCCTGTGCGCATCCCAGCTGCACGCATGAGTGACCTCCCGCCTGTCTGAATTGCCAAGCCCTGTCAAAATCAGGCTGCATCGGCGGCCAGCTGATCTGCCGCTGCCCTCGCCGGATATGCGTGCGCACAGGCAATTTTGTCCCCAACGCCATTGAAGGAAAAACGCTCCGACACTTCAGTAGCCAGCGTAGAAGTATGTCCTCAACTCCTCATGCGACCTCCCCCTGCGTCCCATCCAGGAGTGCGAATGCTGGAGGCGATTTCGCCAGCGACTGCCGGCCTCGCATACGTTTAGGGCTATTTTTAGCGGCCACTGCCGTCTCTGAGTTTGCCTCTTAGGTCCTATCAGATCGAGAGGGCGGCCAAGCCGAATTTTTGCAATACACTTTTCCCACAAAGGCAGGCAGATAATGGGGCAGCACCTCGCTGCCTCCGCACATTAGGTACGCAGCTTTAATTATCGTCATTATCGCTACTAGTCGTGTCATTGCTATTGTTGTTAATCTTACCAGTGTACGCAGTATCGCCTCTATCACTGGCAATGCCAGCACTACGATTGTAATTACTGTCACGTTAATTCTGAACGTCGCTACTGCTACTACTACTTTCGCCACTGTAATTACCACTACTGCTACTACTACCCTATTATTACAGACAACACTGTGATCAGTGGCCTTTCAGGCATGGTTTCTAACATTAAACAGGACCCGGAAATTGTCTATCTACTGTCTGTATCTCAAGATACAGCAGGATACGAGCAAAAATTTACTACCGTTATGTGCCTTTTATATATAAGGATGATGATACTGGAACTATAGCTACGACCACAGTCCACTTCTCACTGAACACCTACTGTTACCGGAACTTATGTTGCTACTCATAATGACACCGCAAGTAGGCATTTCGGCAGTGGTAGCACTAGTGCAGGTTTGCAGGTTCCAATAAACATTGTGATAATAATAATTCGTCGAGACAATAATGGAGATGAATATACACTGTAAAAGTCAAAGACTATTAGCTGCCAATAACTTTTCTTCCGTCATTGCCACTATTACACACCCAATTTACCCTGCATTCTGCATTTTATAGTCATTGCGCTACCCATTTCCTTCCGCCGCTTTTCCACGCTCATCCTCCACAACTTTAACGGCTTGAAAGCTAATCTGTCAGCTTTTCGCCAAAGTGAATATTTGTAGCGTTATCACTGATCCTTCGGCTATTACGTATATTTACAGTTGGTGAATAAGAAATATCGAGCAATGTTTGTTGTTGAGCTCTCCGGGCTGAAAGCACTTCTGTTCACACATAGATATGCCATCAATATCTCATATTCGTCTAGTCATGAAAACCAGATGAATTTAAAGCAGTAAGATTTGTTTGTAACCTAAAACGTTATGCCTGAGCTACAGACCTGCAACTAATCTGAGCATTCAGAATTCCGTCCATCGTCCTCTCGAGCTCATTCAGATTTTAATGATGTAACGCCACGGTTAGGCAATATACGTACTTGAAACTGGTAAATCCACAACGCTTGCCTCTCCATGAAGCTACTTCGAGGTGAACCAGACGCTCCACATGATTGAGTAGTGCGGACTAGGACGCTGACCTAAAGATGACAGACAAACGGCAGAATTTGCTAGCCCTTCCGCATCCACTGCCTCTGTAAGCGATTTAACATCCGGATGGCGACAATCCGTACCAGATCATGTGTGGCATATGGTATAATTCACCGTCGGAAATGGGCTCATCTTTATAATTTTGCAATGAATATTAATTAAAATTACACATACCAGCCCGCCTGTGTTTTCGGAAATTACATTCCTATGGTGGACATAAACGAATTCCCAATGGAATAAAAAGTGGCTGAAATTTACCTTTGATCGGTAATAGTTTTACAAGAGAAATGTGTTTGGATAGTTGCTACCGCCACCACTGTACACGTTATCGCCTATATTTAGCTAATAAAAAGGCTTCCTAGGACGTAAACGTGATCCACTTTAGGTTTCGTAGGTATTGAAAGAAAACGGTTTACTGAGCTGAAGGGTCTAGGAGATCGTTGCCGTGACGAGCATTCACGATCGAACCTGCACAAAAGACCGCAAGTCAAGAAATGATCCTTTAAACACTCGATAAACTAAACAATGATTTATTCTAAAAGCATGCCTGTGCTTGAATGCATTATCTTCTCCGTTGGTCGGCGGTTGACTGCTTTTAAAGAAGCGCACTTTTGTGTGTCTAGACATCTATACAACTCACTCAAATTCCCTACTCAGAGGGGTTTTTTGAACTAAGATGCATGTGCGCAGAATTTGCCTTCAAATTCTTAATGAAGCTGGAGAATTGGTGACTGGATCGGTAAAAAACAAACGATCTTATGGGTTCATAAGAAACTAATACTTATACTCGTACTGTTTATTTGCAAACGATAGAAGTTGTATTTCAATCTTATTCACTATCCAGATGAAAATTGGTTTTTTACATAAGCTTCACCTGAATCTTCAATTTAGTTGTTTTACATACTCTAAGTTGTGCGGTTGCCAGTGCTTTTAGGAAATGTCCAGCCACAAAAATAACGTCACGAAGAGCCCTTAAGTTATTATTATGAGGTTTTCTGATAAAATTTCCCTTGCTGGCTTTTTTGATGAAATCTGTCTTTTTACTCAGATATTTTGATAGTCCACAGCCAGTCGTTTTATTCTTCAAGACTTCTTCGATTCTTCCTTATTGGCCCAATACCAGGACGTACTTGAGCACGTTTTTGTATTGCTTTTAAAATACTGCCGTACAGCTTTCGCTTTTTATAATGGAGGAGTATCCACTCAACTTACAAAAGCTTTACGCGATTTTATTTTGCAGTTGCATTCGCAACAACCAAATATACCTCCGAAAGGAGGACTACTTCTTGATGTTCCTAGGATTAACAGAGAGGGAGTTGATTTTCTCATCAGAATCACATTCTCAAAAATCGGCAAACAAGTCTTTTTGAACTTATCGAGAATCCATCGGATGTATGCTAATTGCTCACAACATCCAGGCACTCAGTGAATAGAAGGGTGTGCTTGTACTAAATAGTTGTTGATGAGTGCGGTGTGCTATCGTAATTTAGTGGGAAATTGTGCAGCCATAAAAAAGCCATGCGTAAGTAGAGTATCGACAAAGATAAGGGAGGCTGCGATGGCCGTTTCTGGCTTAGTAGCCGTCATCAACCAGACCCGGTGTTTTGGGGTTCTCTGAGGCTCTATCCTTCGATTTTTTGCTTATTAATCCAACGTCCTTTCCAGTGAATTCGGTCGGTCGGGTATATTAACCTTGGTTGAGGGGCGCGAATCGATTGCGTTACGGAAAAACTCTCCCGGTTTTATTTTAGAACTTGATTTAGAACCCTGCAGGCAGCCGCACAGCGACCAGTAATGCACGAAGAAGGAGATTACCGACAAAGACAAGGGCGACTGAGGTGACCATTAGCTGTCGTCCGTCAGTCTTACACAACCTCGGGTTTTGGGGCACCTCACCACAACTGGCAGGATATTGAACCTTTGGTTCCCAGCCTCAAATCACAATAAACCTAGTTTTTCTCGTAACGCGATATTTAGCGCCCTGTACTGTATAAATAGCCACACTACGCAGCCTCACGTTTTCGTAACTGACGACATTTTTTTCTTTTTTCCATCGCCTATTTTTCCATCTTTCTCTAGAGATCGCCGTCGAGATGTGCGTGCAGTTGCATCAAATCTCGTAATCACGCCTTTATTTTTGCTTTGTAGAAAGAAAAGTTTGTCAAACTGCTCGACCAGTTCCACAATTCTTTGCGAATAAGTCTCTCTATGTATCGGGTGAGTGCGTGCCCTTTTTATCATACTCCACTCAGTACTCGCGCTCGCCCGCTCTGTCACAACTTTTGCGAGGTTTAGTTGTCGACTTTCGGGCAGTCTTTTTCATTATTTCGTTCACGTTTGGAGTGAGAAAGTGACCATTCTCCCGTTTAGTCGGGAGCGCAGGTGTTAATCGTCATCTACCGCATGGTTAGTTAATTCTATCTTCCACTGTTTACGCTGAATTTACTGTTATTGCTGATGTCAGCTTTGATCAAAATGTCAGTTTACTGGACTTTCCTTTCTATCTGCTGCAAAAGAACAGTTAGGGTGGTGACTTTGATATCACAGGCTATGAAATTAACTTACAAAGATTCAGCAAATTCTCAGATTATTGGTCGACTAGGAGCGATGGAGAACAATAGACATCCAGTTAGGCAGGCAGTAGATAAGTGAATGGGAAGGGTTCAAAAGTTATTCTGATAAAAAGCTAGACCCTAAACAGAGGGATGCACCCAAGGTAGGGTTTTGCCCATCGATTTTCTCAATCTTTGCAAGGTTTGGGTGTAACTTCCGTATATGGCGATTGATCTTCCAACACCTTATCTGTAGAAAACATTTTTATGCTATTCCTCCAATTCCATGGAAAAGCGAAGTGGATACACTGAAGGTTCCTTTGAGTCGCTCGTATTATCACCATGACCAGGACCAATACGGCCCACTCACCATTACAGTTGATATCTCCTTAAATGCCTTTATTATTATTTCGCCGAATTTCCATTACCAAATTGCATAAATCACTCGGCATCCTCGGCGGAATTTTTCTGACACTTTTGTACTTTCGAACACGTCAAGAATGTCAATTTCTTGCTAATTTGAATCAATTCAATCAGAAATTAAACAGGCTCGACGATTCCCAATGCCTTATTGCGATATCATATATTGCCAGAATAATTAGACACCTTCGGGAGTTATGCTAAAACATTCCGTCATCAAGCCCTTTACCAATTTATTTTTATCTAACTGTTAATGCGTTTAGGATGTCGCAGCTCCGCCTTTTGTCAGCAATTGCTGCGATTAATTACAATCAGGAGGGGAACATTTAGCTCGAAGTTCAAACCCTCGGGATCCACCGTGAAAATATCTAAGGACGTTATTCAGAGTCCGCGACACGGTCCATCCAGTTTTCTTACGTGCATCGGAAAAGATTTTTTCCCTAGCCATTTAAAACACGATTGCAAACTCACTCTTATACAGAGAACACCAGCAAACGATCTCTGGAATAGTAGGTGTAATAGTCTGAGCTTTCGGTCTCGTACAGGAGGCCAGCGTCGGAGACTGAGAGCGCGGCATCAAATGAGCAGTGCAGAGGGTGGTATTCGCGATAAGCTGCGTCCCACGCCGTCTCACTGCGGCGTTACTGCGTGCATCCTTAGCTCGAAATTGGGTCTCGCCTCTTGGCCGCGGGAATGGAGCATAAACGGACGGACCGTAGAGGCGACCCGTTGTCTCAGGTCGCCACCCACACCCCGGAGGAAGGCCACGAATTCAAGTCTCGAGCACGCAGATATTAGCGCGGGCCAGCGATAAGACAGGGCGAGAACTGTTGGGGGCCTAGCCGTCTGACACCGACTCTAACAACAGACGCGTTGACATACCCCCCCTGCTATCGCGAGCTCCGTTACCGCGGCCAAGAGGTGAGACCCCATTTCCAGCCGAGGATGCACGCAGCCACGCCACCGTGAGACGGCGTGGGACTCATCTTATCGCAAATACCACCTTCTGCACTCATACCCCCCTCCCTTTCATGGCTTGACTACAAAAACTGCTCATATGATGCCGCATTCTCACAGTTTGTGATGATGGCTTCCTGTACGAGACCAAAAGCTCAGACTAATACACCTACTATTCCAGAGATCGTTTGTTCATCTTCTTTTCAACAAGAACCTGGGATTCGCATATTCGCTTCCATCACTCTTATATTTTCCTGTTCAAGACGAGATATCGGCTACACGCTACCTCAGTATAATCAGGCTAATGTGGTTTCTTAAGTGTCGTTTTTGACTTTTCAGTGAAGACCTTTGATAATGACGAAACCAGCCAATGCAATTCGATCATTTGATTTTGCTTATTTTGGCAGTGAGACTAATTAGCTTATAAGCCAGATCTCCCAGGAGCGTATCGTTGAGGACATATTCGGAATAAGTCTTGAATAACCTTCCCAATGCCACTAGTAGGCCAGGGTCATCATTGTAAATCGCAGGTAGTGCCCGAAATACATTCCCTTTTAGGATTTTGTCTTCCCGAGTCATCAAGTGGACTCTTTGAAAATGTCTCCATCATTTCTCAAATTGACGTTCTTATAGCCTCTATGGTTGCAGTTAAATTATCTTTCTGTAAAGCCTTATCCAACTGTACATAATGATTCACAATGTTGAATTCCTGGTCTTTTCTGAAGTAGCAGCGCTTCTTTGACCAATTCGTTTTTACTTAATAACCTTCGCGATTTAATAATGAGATGAACCATGGTAGATTCGCTTTCTTGAGCTTACAGTTAACCTGCAGTCGTTTATAACTTTTCAGACATTTCTCACTAGTCGTTCTTAAGCATCCTTTGCTACATTCTAACTGAGAATTTGCGATTACCAGACCGAACAGGGTTCTATGCAATTGAGGAATCTGATACAATGAAATCAGTATGTCTTATAGGAACTTATATTGGGACGTTTCTCCGCCTCTCCTTTGTTAGATGGCTGACCCCTCAGTTTTACCTTGTTGGCACTCATTCGCTTGCTTCCCTTAGAGCCACCACTTCAAGTCTCGTTCAAATCGACACTTGACAAAAAGGCGTACCAGAAGAGACAGAAGAAAAGGCTATTTTAGCTTTGGAAAGAGAGGAATCTTGGAGAGTTTGCAGACACTTGTGCACAAAGAGCCATTTTGCAAAGTTCAACTGGATAAGTGGCTGAATGAGCTTACCGTCAGTTGCCCTTAGCGGTCAAGGCGAGCATCCAAGACACCGGTTGCCACGAATTTTTTGGTCGGAATGCAAAATTAAAAAAAAAAAAACTTTAGCAAGGGAAACCAAGGAACTGGAATAACAGCTCCATCCAGTTTTAATTCCAGATATAGTTGATTTTATACACCACTGACACTTGTATAAAATCAAGGTTGCCGACTTTTGTCTACAACGTCATATGAAGTTTGCCAAAAGAAATTTTTTTCACTGTATGAATTAGATTTTTAGTTGGGTTCAATCACATTAGGTTTTATAAAGGTTCTATTTATATTTCGCGCCCAAAGGTTGGGAAACAACAGTATAATGATTGTGTGCTCCTTCTATAACTAGTACATATAAGGCCAATTTCAAACCCTATCTGAAGAACAAAATTAAGCACGAACCACCGACCATCACATCATCGATTGTGGCAAATCGCGTTCCTATGAAGGGTTAGAATAACAGATGCGAATGAATATTTGGCAAACATACTTACGTCTTCAGCGGTCTCAGAGAATCAGTTGCAATGGTTCCTCGTGAATGTTGCCTACATAGCGCTTCCACCTAGATGGGATCCAGATTGCCCGCTTGTTTCTGTGAAAATCTGGTCCATCGTGAACGAGCCAGGCATGTGTACCACGCACTAGCGTACAGTTTAGCCTTGTTAGTCACTGCACCACATCCAGCCTCCGGTCGCGGTGACTTTGTCTTGCCACCGGGTGAAGGTGCGGCAGATACTGCCCAAGTACTTTATCATTATAAACTAATTCACGCATGTCACGGCCCTGCACCCGCAACCTGTGTGGGCAAACAGTGAACGTCGTCGTCCAAGACAGTCAGAGTTACACCCTTGTGTGTGTTGAAGTAAAAATTATTGGCTTTAAATCATATACGTCGTCCGGCGGGGCCTCCTAGCTCAGGTGGTTAGAGCGTTGGCTGTACTAAAGCCTTCCCCTTACTGCGTGGGTTCGAATCCTACCTAGGCGCCGAGTTTTTCACAGTTGGGCCAATATGAATTATTCAAAATCTGCCAAAATATCTATGAACTACGTGAGCCTGGTAGTCATCTGGTGGATTCTAGGTGAATTACTTAGGAAATCCTGCTTGGACAGTCAACTTACTGTATCAGAGTTGGTGGATTCCAGACATTGCAGTAGGTTGGGCGGGTAACTTGGACCAAATGTAATTAGACTCGCGAGACCGGCTGGGCCTCGTAGCTCAGGTAGTTAGAGCGTTGGCTGTACTAAAGCCTTCCCCTTACTGCGTGGGTTCGAATCCCAACCAAGGCGCCGAGTTTTTTACAGTTGGGTCAATATGAATTAAATCATATGCCCTGAGAACCCTGTGCTGCTAATCACTTTTGCCTTTCCCGCGATAAGTATTTACTTTCACGAAAATTTCTATTAGCTTGAAAATATTTGGTAGTTAAGGTGAAAATGTTTCTTGCTGTCCATTAATGACCAGATACTGGGTATAAGAACTGTATATTATTCCCGTTTCTCTCATCGTAAGTCGCTGTGCCTTATGTTCTGCCGCTGTCATGGAGAGACACCAACTCAGTCGACCGAGGTCATCGTGGTTATCTATGGTAGCGCATTCCTTTACCATGGGAATGGAAAACCACGTTATACCTTGGTGGTGGGGGATTCTGCGACGTGACCTGCTTCAGACGTCTATGCCGGCGCCCTTAGTGATTTACCCGATTGCGCTCGTTCCCTGATTCTCATCTACCTGTTTGATTTATTTAAACCTGAGTACCAAACGGCGCATATCCAAGTAACCGGCCAAAGTGCATGCGAGCCCTGCAAGTGTATGCGTCTGATGAGAAATTAGTGAACATGTACATTTCTTCGCTAGACTGTCCAGCCTATTTTTTTACAACTCAGGTAACACTGAAGCACAAAAAGCCTACGCCAACGTGTGAACATTTTTTGTCTTGGCAGCACATTTTAGTTAAATCTTGGATATTTTGGAATACGAGTTACAACCTGCACTGCTCTTTGACTTTTTTCGAGGTTAACAATGAGGTAGACATAGATAAGTGTGAGGTTTTTAATTCGTATGGAATTATCTTGAGACGCGACTTGAAACGCCTGAAACGCATATAAATGTTTCAGTTTAATGTCTTTAACTTCAGTGGAATATCAACCTGCTGCTCGCAACTGGAAAGGTTGCAGGAGTATAAAAGACACTTGACACTCCTGAGAGCAAGGCCATAAGTTCATATTTTTGATTTTTACCACAAATTACGACAACAAAATCAAGAAAGGCTGCCTTTCATTATCACCCCTCGTCCGCGGCATGCGATTGTCAGACAAAGTAGAACTATAACTCAAGATTTTAGCTTAAAAGTGTGTGAACATGTCAATAATGATGTAGACGTTTTACAAAAAGGGACAGTGGAATAGTCACTTCTGACTTGTATACCATAATCTGCTAGCTATATTTCGATCTCAGGCTGTACATCAGAAGTTCGAATCCAAATCAGCTGACCATTGAGGAGCGCTCTTATTGTCGCAATCAAGGCTGAGATCGGATGTACCGCGTAGGGTTTAAGTATTAGTGACTGATGCCGGTATAAAAGCCAGAAACGACTATTTCCTTGCCTCAATAAGGGCTTTAAATTAAGCCAAAATTTGAAGTGGATGGTAGCTTATCCTGCGATCTGCACGGCGAATGCCGTTCCCGCGATAGTACATATTTCCCTTCGCAGTCGAATGGACAACGGACCCTTTGGCTCAAGTGGTGAAACGTTGAACTTGACGCTCGATAAACGAATAAGGCGCGTTCGAATCCCAGTTTATGTAAATCTAGAGCTTGGTGTGACGGCTGACGATAACTCATAAACCCAAAGTGTTTATCCCAATCTCCCGTGTTTCTCTCGGCATTGCCTACTAATAAGACAGGTTCACATTAATTTGAACTGCCGCCCCTGGACTCTTTGCACTGAAAATCAGAGAAACGTTACGTGTTACGCAGTTATCCCAAAGACCACATTCACACGATTTCTCTTGGTATTCATTCTAAACAATGACATCACGCCAGCAATCTTAAATCCCACATTTTACGCAAATTACTCAAATTGGGAGTGACATTTCTGAAGTGTTGGCATTTGCTGTTATTGTGCACACCTTCCGTTTTTAAAGCGATGGGGGTACTTTGACAAGTGCATATGGTTACAATCATTCCTTATCGGACCGGCACAACTATAGCGGGATTTTTTATGGTTTAATGTTTATTTCGAAGAAAATAATCAGAGGGCTGGATGTACTCAGGTCCTTATGGAAACAGAAAGCGGAGAAGGGACGAACAATATCACTGGAGGAACCACGTCTGAAATTAGCATCCTATTTGTGTGTGTGCGGTAGCTTAATTGGCTTTGACCCATGACGGCCGCAGGGTATGTACCAAAGTCACCTTTGCATAGAGAGCCGGCCTGATTGTCGTTGCCTTCGCCGTCCCAGGCACGCATTATATTAGTGCCTTCTGACAGTTTACCGACACTAGACAGATTATTTGGAGCACAGGTTAAACATCCAGCTGCATATGAATGCTACAGATTATAATTTAAACTTTCTCCATCCTAAACTATACTGACACTCCACTCCAAGCTTTGCTACCAGCTTGACCAGAGAAATAAATGATGGAGTTAATGGAAATAGCGGAAATCTGTGGTAGAAACACGTCCTTTCTTCCATGGCGTAGTATTACGTTTGCAAAGAACAGCATTTGTAGTTTATTACCTGAAGAGTTTTGGAAATTGGCGTAATATTATCTATACGTTTATGAAGTCTCATACTGTATTACCCTGCAACGGAGGAAACCTTTAAACGTGTTGTAATTTTAGTAGCTTTTGTAGGCTTTTATATACGCTTTACGTTAAATCATTCGAGAGGCGAATGCCGCTTTTTCTGCTGCAACTATCACCTATAATAATGGACTCCTGTGCAAATTCGAAAGCCTGGAGCAATAAACAAACTGTTTCGTGCTCTAACGATCTTCTCCTTACGCATAAGTCAGTTTGAAGGTTACTTTAACGGAACGAAGATACGATGACTACCGAAACTACGGATACTTACTTTTGTCAATCAGTTAGCATTTTTATCACTTCATATTGACGTTGGCACTATGCAGTGTCATCAAAACATCTGGCATATCTTTGTCAGCTGACTTCTGTCACAGCTACTTTTTATGACTCTTGAATTTGGTCCTATTAAATGCTTATGACCGTTTTTCACCCATTCATTATCTATCTATGTCGATAAGGCTAAAATAGTTCAGTGAAGAGGATTGCGCACTACCGCAAGGAAGCTTATGTTCTTCATCCTCTCCCAACTGTTTGTCTAAGTTTGTGTTTGCAAATAAATTTACTTTTCATTATCCACAGCTCTTATATCTACAACGAGTTGTAAATCGATAAATCAGGATTTTTCTAGTAATTATTCCGTGTATAAGCAGATTGTATTTAAATATTTTAGAATTGTTTCCCGGCCTCGCAACCCGACAAACTGCAGGACCTCAAGTCAACGGTGGACCTCCTTACCAGTATCACCTTCTTCCGCATGAAAGTACGGTAACTGTTTCTGTGTGTATTTTTCGCTCCTCTAATTAGAATTGAAACCTTGTCCAATTTGTCCCCTAGAGAACTGTAGGTAGACGCTGTCATTTTTTCTCTCTATCCTAAAAGGACTTTTGTGATATCGGACTATAAATCTTCTTCAGGCAACACGATTTTCATCATACGAACCAGTTTTCTGATTCAGTTGCCCCACTTTATATCGATCCAAATTGTCGTGTGTCAATTACTGCTCTCAGCCGCATGTTATGCTTCCGTTCAGGGCAATAGCGGATTTGGGTGAGGCGGGGTAACAATGAATTGCGGTTTCGGACTCTTCATAACTAAGGCCAAATAAACAGCCAATGTTTCCGGATTCTTTCAAATGGAAAAGAACGCATAAGCAGATACCTAGTGGTCACTGCCTTCGCTACTATTTATCGCCGTCACGCAAACACTGAGACGTTTCCAAACGATTTGTCTTGGCGCTTGGAGCTGTCTGGAAAGAAAAAACTTTTTAATCAAAAATCTTGGTTTATAAAAACGTTTCTGGTGGAATGAGCTTGTAGATTTAACTTCCCACGCCTTGTACAGTACGGGCAACAAAATATCGCCTAAATATCAGTATCATGCTCTCAGTTATTAATAATAGGGTTGCTTGCATATTTGTCCAATTAATTTTGTTTCAAATGTATAAGACATGTAAGTGACCTTAGTGAGCTATTAAAGTCGCAAATTAAGCAACGGAATGGTGCGTTCTAGTGCAAGTACGCAACTTGTAATGCTGCTATCTGTAGAGGATGGTGGGTTCAAGTATGAAATCATTACTTTGTCCCTGCTTTTGTGGTTGAGGATAAAAGAGATGGTGTATGAGAACCAGCGTTTATTTAATAAACGTAGGAGAGAGTTTAATCCAAGGTGACCTTATGCAGTCAAACTTTTCTTACTGGTTACGCCAGTAGTTGAATTGGATAGACGGGATTGTAGAGAATGTCGCGGCATGAGTGCACTTTTAACCATGGTTCTCAGTCCCACTTGGTTGTAAATTATGTCAGGCAGTCTGAGCCTTGAAAAGCGCCCATCTGCCTTTTGAGTAGGCTCGTGGCCTAACCTCATTTGCAGACTCATTCTTCATAATGTTTTTGTGAGAGAGATGAGCGGCTGTGCTCACTGAGGGATAACGAGAACTGATGAAAATGTATTAGCGTTGGTTCTCTTTTGCCGACACACTAAACTGGGCGTCAACCGATCCCCTTGGCTGGCCATGTGTAAACCTCTCCAAGGAATATTACTGTTGGGAACGGGCAGTTTCATGGCATCTGCCAGGCTGTTCTTGGCACGCTTTCACTCCGGCTGTCTTGACGAAACCTGTGGTTTTCTCGTCTGGAATAGAAATGGGTTTGATTTGAAATGCATCTAACGAGGACAAGCTGACATCTTTTCAAAGTAATTTAGGTGACCTTTGGAGTCAAAGTAACATGCAAGTGGAAGTATGACTGCAGTAAGGCTGACCTCTGCGAATTTATTCAGCAGGACGCGCATTCCTTTCATGTAATTTTTTAAAATAAGAGATGAGTAACGCATGCACCATCTTTCGCGTGGGACCAGTTATATCATCATCTATGGTTTAAACGGCGCCTGGTGGCCGGACCAGAGGAAGTTAAAACGACTGGTGTCTGACCCAGTTTCTGGCATCATCAGGAAACTTCTCTGCGAAAATTGACTTCCAAGTCAGGCGTTTAGAAGACGGACCAACATCACACATCTTAACTTCAGATGATGCTGATGTTATGTGCTTTATCTAGAGCGTGCTGATGGTTTCCATTGTTTGTCTCTATTGAACTTAAAACTGAGTCAAAGTGTAATCGATTATCCGTGGTTCGGACGGTCTCTTGTGCAGGTAGTGGACAAATCTCAACATTGTCATTAGTCGGAGGTGGTTAGTACGATAAAAGACCCAAATCCACTTCCCGCCTGAACATCCGCCTCGACATTTTTTGCCGCTGCAGTACTGTTCATCTAGGATAGCGCTTCGCCCTGGGGTGCAGAAACCAAGTCGCCTTCATATTTTGCAGTCAGCCGCCCGAGGTTCGACTACTTGTCATCTCACCATGCCAAAGGAAACAGTAGATACATAACAGTCCGGGTCAACAGAGTTACGGGGATACCAAAACATTAGCTGAACTAGGCCTAAAAATCCTCTTATGAAGCAACCCAACTTATCAGAACATACAAACGCAAGCACAAACGCCCACACTGGGCAGTTGGCCCACGGGTTAGTTCTACCGAATGACACATCAGCCCCTCCCTATAAAATTCATCTCTGCCTGATTACCTGCCAGGTGTATGTGCGCACCCATATCTTTGACTTTCCAAACCACAAACAGCCAACTACCTGACCGACTGCAAGATTACTAAGCTGGTTAGACCTGGTCCTTGGAAAAACTGCACGGTGTGGTTGTCAATGTGTGTGTGCTTGTGTGCTTCCAGTCCCAGGTGACTAGCAGGCTATGACCGGCTGAAAGTGTCAGGAATTGTCTCGAAGCATCATCTGTTTCCCGGTTTGCTTCTCTGCGGCTCGACAAATCGTTACATCTTTGTGGTACTATCTTTCAACAGGTATACTACTTATCTTGGTCGGCCAGATGATCAGCATGCATCTTTTGTCGTTGTTATCTCTGATGGTGGATTAAAAACAGAAATTCAGAACTTCGAACGGTATCCTTGATGAGGAACTGTTGCGTTTTGCCATAGCACGGTTTCGTGTTACCAAACTCGGCTTTACATTTTAAGTGAACAACCAACGTTGCTTTCGTCATCAAAGTTTTCCTTAAGAAAATTAATTATGTACAAAATCCATTACTAGATACTTATGAGCCAAAATCCTTAAGAATGCATTTTTGCCTATTGGTGTGTGATCGTGCAAAACAGGTTGTCCAAACTTTTAAGTCGTCTGTTCACTTTTTTGACTTAAGTCAACTTCTGTAGTTGAAAATCCCACCTTCTTTCCTCAGGTAGTTCTTGTCCATTTGATAGGATTATTAGAACAGTGCTTTCATAAGACGTACTTCGTTGTTTATATCGTCTCTAAACGTTAATTTTGTCATTTGTCAGCCAAATTAATCACCAATTCCGATTCATTTTACTGTCACTGTGTTAACAGCCAGAGCCAGCTTTGGAGAATATTGACGGCGTTATTTGCAACAAGGCCCTACTACAGCGTTTTCATATTCAACTGAAATTAGTACGCCTTTCAATGTTTTTTTTTCAGGTTCAAGAGCTAACAAGCCCACCCCGGGCCAGCCAGGTTGTAAAGGAGTGCGCTCAGGCCTGCATGCAGACCACTTATCAGTTCCTCTACGAAAATGCGAACGATCTCTATGCGCGGCAGTTTCAGGTAGATAATTAACGCAAGCATCTGTTAGCATAATTTCTGTGTGTAGAAGTTTTCATCCTGAAGCGTGCCAAAATAAAATGGTTATTTTTGGAACTTGCTTATTAAGTCCTCATAGTATTTGAAGGGTCACCAGACCCCGATGATATACAATACGTCTACAGTTGCTGAAACCGGCGTGTCAACAGTCCCTTTCTACCGAGCATTTCCCAGTTCGAACTCCACTTTCTCCGAAAGCAGTTGCCCTCTTTACTTCACTGTAAAACTGCTTCTGCTATTGATAATACACCTGCATTAGGAATCAGTCTAAGTAAAGGAACACTTTCGCATATGTCGTCACCACGTTTTGTTTGTGGTTAATGTTTTAAGTTGATGGCCCAATAACAGAGGCCGGGGCGCAGCCAATCAACCATTATGAACCTTTGGGCATAGCTTGCTTTGGCTCTCGAAAAGGCAAATCTTGGAAATCAGCATATAGTAAACTAATCATATTGCAATAGTAGAATGGCGCTCACCGATCGTTCTTACAGAACCCACTCGTTCCGTTGTTCTTTACGGGCTCTCTCTCGAGCCCAACCAGTAGCTGCACAGCGGCGCATGATATAGGCAGAATGCTATTACCGACAAAGACAAGGGAGACTGGAATGGCCATTTGTGGACTATTAGCCGTTGTGAGCCAGTCATACCCAACCCGGGCGTGTGGAACACCCGAGGCTCGAATTCGCGACCTGTTAGTTAAATGTCCACGCCTCTAATCACTGGACCACGGGCCCGTTGTCCTGTCGGTTGCGATCTGGAATATACAACAGCAGAGAGGCGCTCACAGATCGTTCTTCCAGAACTCACTCTTCCCGTTGTGCCTAACGGGCTCTCTCTCGAGCCCAACCAACAGCCACACAGCAGCACATGATATATGCAGAATGCTATTACCGACAAAGATAAGGAAGACTGGAATGACCATTTTGGCTTATTAGCCGTCGTCAGCCAGAAATGGTCATTCCAGTCTCCCTTGTCTTTGTCGGTAATACCATACTGCTTATATACATATTGCCATTCGAACACTTAAGAAGTCGTTAATTTGCGTCATGAGCTCGTATGACAGTGACGTCCAGTCGGTCGAATAATTCAAGAGGACATGCCCCATTTAGTTTTGCCGTGGATTTATGCCAAGTGTCCTCGTACACGGTCCCGTATTGACAAACAGTACCAATAGAGAAAATGTGAACAAAGACGATGGCGATTTAAATGAACTTTCTAGACTTAACGACTGACGCCAGCTAGCTTTACCATAACCTAAAATCTGGATAGCATAAGATTCTAATTCAGAGTTGTTGTTCATTGGGCATTTCATATTAAAAATATTCACTATGCCGAAAAACACAGCGCCACTAGGAGATGACGTTTTGCCTTTCTACCTTAAATTTTACGAAAGACATTAAATGGGAAGTCAGCCTGATTGTCAAATACAATTTAGGAGAACGCATAATTGCAGTTGTTGAATACCCATTAATTAGCCAAGACCAAAGAAAAAGGGCCTGACGGAAGAAATTTTTCTTACGATAGACTTGCAATTAACTGATTTTCCGTCATTTTAAAGGTAAGCTCCGGCTTTTAAAGTCTTGCAGGATACTGCAAACGTGTAAGTTGTTTTCAGTAAATGTGGATTGTTGTGTTAAGCTTAAAAGGCTTGCGTGACGGCGCAGTAGCTCCCTTAAACATATTTCTTGTGTTCTTACGAATCCAAAATATACATAATATGAAATATGACGAACCGATAATCACGGAGGGAATAGAGGGTTTTGTGACATCTAGGTATCTCTTGATATGGTTGGAGGAAGTGCTGATTATTGCTATTGTGTTGCAATTTAGGAGAAGATCTCCACAGACGAAACCGGACCTTCATTGAAATCACTTGACTTCTGGCATCGTTTGATCGCACTTCTTGTTTCTGTCATCGAAGAGGACAAAACGACGTATGCGACAGTGATAAATCAGTGAGTCACTTACAAGAATAACCAGCCAGTTAGTCGCTTCTTCCGCTATTTCGCACGCGATACGAATTTCTAATAGCCTGTATTTTGGGTTGCAAAATTCTTTTTCCTGCCATTTACCGCTCCTGCAACGGGCTACGCGAGAGACGTGCTTGGACTACCAGGGAGGCTAGATTGGGGCGCTGCGTGAGTTAATCTGTTTCGCAGAGTACGTGCATCCCAAAACAAATGCCACACATTGGGATGCGGTGGCACCCCTACGTGTAGGATCATACCACGCCAACCGCTTGCGCCCAAACCCGCTTCAGACAGTTCGGACAGTGGATTGAGGAATCGCTTCCCGCGGAACTTGAGCTTACACCTCACTGTAAAAATCTGACGCGCTAAAAGTTGTGGCTTAGAAGGCTGCCAACTGACAGGATAAATCGCTCCTCCCAGGATGGAGACTGAAGCTACAATGGTCCTTTTCGAATGTTGCCTCCATGTCAATCCCACTTAGATGGGACTTTAGTCTCTTCCTTTTCTGTGGAAAAACATGGGACAGGTCTCTGGAACCAGGCCGTTCGTGCCGCGCGTAGACGGGCCGCTTATTCTTGTCAGCCACTGCACCCCAACTCGCCTCCCGTCGTCCTAACTCTGCCTTGTCAGGGAGCCCAGAGTTGGAAGGGAGGAAAGGGTGCGTTGGGTGCTACGCAAGTCTGCTATCACTATAAACTAATTTACTCGCAAGTCACTACCCTGCACCGGCCATTTTAGAGGGCTCACGATGGACACCGTCGTCCACGACGGGCGAACTACCGAAAGTGCGAATTAGCTGCTATTAGACACAGGGCATGACTTCACACTGATCTACTGAAATCTAAGGGCAAAAGACTAGCAGCCCAATAACTCTGCACTTTGGTTCATTTTTGGTCCTGTTTCAACCAGATCATTAGAAAGTACAGTAAGTGATCGACCTTATGAAATGTTGGCTGAAATTCTGAAATGCGTTTTCAATTAGAAAGGATTACTTAGACGCGGTTGTAATACTGATTATCTTGTGGCGTAATCCTATCATAGTTCGGACTCGGCAGGTTGTCAGCCTTTCAATACGCTGCATTTCCATCTGCTATGGAAACCGTGCTCGGTAAAAATGACTAATTAAGTAGCATGCATTTTCCCATTGATTTTCGATGGCCTTACCTGATCACTCGTTGCATTAGCGCTTAGTGATTTCAGTCCACAAGGTTCATGCGTTCCGCGTAAAGAAAATCATATTTATTTTCTATGCCTTTAAAAAGATATCATACAGAGTCCATAAAATTTTGCAAGGGATGCGAACTATGATGTATATTTCATGAGGAGCTGTGGTAAACGGCCAGGTACGATGCTTTGTGAATGGACATTGTGGGGTCTTAAAATAATATAATGATTCGAAACTTTTTAAAGCCTAATTATACTCACTCCTTCAGTAATAAATATATAAAGGCGTGATTCTCTATTAATTGAGTAAAAGAAGGCATATTTTTGTTTATGGTTTCTATTTGAATTTGCAAGACCATCGAAAATCAATGGGAAAAATGCGGGCTACTTAAGTAGTCATTTTTGCCCAGAACGGTTTCCACAGGAGATTAAAAAGCAGTGTATTCAAAAGCTGACATCCTGCCGAGTCCGAAATATTGAATTATGTCATAAAGTACTCAGTATTACAAGCGCGCCTAAGCAATCCTTCCTAACTGAAAACGCATTTCAAGATTTCAGCCAAAATTTCATGAGATCGGTCACATACTGTAAATCATGTTGCGTCTTTCAGGAAAAAGACATTTTGAGGCGTACTTTCAATCACAGTCTAATGTCCGAGTGACAGGTTTTTACCACATCATTGCGCGACCAGATTTTGTCCTATTTTACTCTATTCTACCTGCAGATGACATCTCTTAAAAAGTATCCCTTAGGCTGACCGGCACACGCTTCCCACAATGATAAGCTAAGAAGGAATGAGCAGGTTGCGAACAGCTGGATATACTATCAATTTACAAATCGTCCCTTGCAGTGAGGTCAGAAAAATAATTGCACGAGCATTTGAATGATGAACAAACATGTCATCGCTCAGCTTTCTCCTGCATTCGTTTTCCCGTCTATCTTATTACCTGGTTTATGCGATAGCGGTAGCGACTTGTCTGCATAGTCTGTCAGCGCATAGAACGAGAGTCGTTGAGCCTGTGCGCCAGCTGTGCAACTCGATGAGTAAATAGTTCGTCCGCTCGTCTCTGACCAGCTTTTATTTAATCCATCTGTTACCACCCTGCACTTGGTACAGTCAGTGGCCAATCCCATGAAATGTATGCTAACATTCTGAAATGGGTTTCCGATTAGGAAGGACTACTTCAGTGGAATTGCAATACTGATTACCTTGAGGCATAATTTTATAATATATCGGACTCGGCAGGATGTTGGCTTTTGAATACACTTCTTTTTTTAATCCCCTGTAGAAACCGTACCCGGCAAAAAGAGACTGCTTAAGTAGCATGCATTCTTCACATTGATTTTCGGTTGTCTTTTAAATTCAAATATATTTTATAAAAAGCATAAATACACATGTTCTTTTGCTCGTTTGATACAGAATCATGGAATCTTTATATTCTTTAATCAAAAAAGAGTATAAATAGGTTTTAAAAAAGTTTTCTAATTCCCTAATTATTTGGAGTCTGATTAGCCGTGACAGTAGCGCTTAATGATTTCAGTCTGCAAGGTGCATGCTTTCCACGTAAAAAAATCACATACCTCCCTATGCCTTTAAGAAGATATCATATAGAGTCCATGAAATTCTGTAATGGATGCGGACTATGTTGAACATTTCATGAGGAGCAATGGTAAACGGACTCGTACGATGATGTACGAATGGGGTATTACTACCTCACCTAAGTAATCCTTCCTATTTGGAGACGCATTTCAGAATTTTGGCCAGCATTTCATGAGATCGTTCACTCAATATAGCAGGGAGATAATTAGGATAAGCTTAATTAACCAGTTTGTTTAAATGGCATATAAACATTGGTCGTTAAGTATGAGACTTTTCCGTTGGTAAAGTTGCTCTAGTAGACTCTGTTTTCTTTTCGATTTGCCCTTCAACTTACCTGTTATAATTAGCTTAAAAATGGTCTGCATTATCAATGTAGCAAGTCAGCGCCATGTGATAACTTTTCCTCTTTATTCTACAGGTTTCCACAGGAAGCAAACATCGGCTACATTTGCGCCACTTGTATGTGGACCAGGCTTTCTGAGGACCTGTCGGTTGCGCTTGAACAGCATGCGAAGGCCAAGGAGCGCTACTGCAAAACCTCTGAATACATGAATTTGTGCTTCAAAGTCAAATGGTTTTACAAAACGCATATAGCGGAGGTCCCTGAAATGCAAAACCAGATCCCTTCGTATCCTGTGTGAGTTGCCGAGCCTTGTTGACATCTAGAGGTTACTCACCTGCACGTTTGACAAGACGGAGATAAACGCTCCCACGTGACATTGCCAGCCTCGTGCAGAAATTGGCTAATGCCAGACCAGATGTCAGAATGTTAGACAGACTTAAGCTCCAAGTCACGTGTCGGTTTTTAAGAGTAGAAAGATTGAATTTTTACCTAGAATTAGCTGTTGGCTCCGTGTTGTTCATAAAACTATAACATACAGTTAAGTAAGGTATCACGATGACAACAACTTAAGCAGGATTTGGTGTTAACGTCCACGTGATGTAGGTGCCCAGTCCTACTAAATGAGCTGAGTCTCTTGAGATCAAATTTCGAAATATAGCCACAAGAATATATTTTGTTGAGATTTAACCAAACATGGTTATATGCGGAATGCCTCCTACTCTAAAAGCCTTTTGGTTGCTGTCGATTACTTCATGTTTCTGGCAATATTTTTCCAGTCGGTCAACTTTCTCTTAGATGGGCTAATAGATTTTATTGGAAAATGAGCGATCGTCCGTGAATACTGAAGTGTATTAACCTTGACAAAAAGTTCCAGTCAAACTCTGTGTTAGCAGCAGCGAAATGTTTGAGGGATTTTAGTCTAATCTAGTATATTTAAAAATGTTTAAATTCCGTAATCGCTAAACCTCATCTCTGCACTTTACCCTCATCTGATTTTTGTGAAAAACGGAAATGTTGAAGTCCCGGAAGTCTTGAATCGACGCGGTTTCCATCAAAGGCAATGTTTCGCCCTGAGAATTTGTTGAAGATATGCAAAATGCAGCTCTCGCACTCGAGCCTTTCCAACTCATCCTCCTAACATACGTAACCCAAAAACGCCAACTATGGGCACCCAGAGAAGCGAGATTGTCTCAGTGATGAGACATGTGTTGGATTTAAAACAGTCAAAAATGGGCTGTCAGTAGGGAATTATTAGTGAGCTAAGAGACAAGGGTGTTGCCAGAACACTACAGTTAAGTAAAAAGATCTCTTAAAATTAATGCCGATCTTCTCATCAGATGAAAACCTATACCTATGCCAATTATCGGCTCTGCGCAATAAAAAGGTGCCCTCCGGAATAAAGATTCCAAGCAGACAGCCAGCCTTTAACCTTTGGTAACAAACGCTGCATCACGGCTGCCCCAACCCTGAAACTTACCTTATTGCCTTGGCACCCCCCAGCCCAAACCATCTGCATTTCCCCACACGAACATCATAAACGCGTAAAGCTGGTTGACCAATATGCCCTGTAAATATTTTGTTGGTTTCGACACGTGGTTTATTGGGCTGTGTGCAAAGAAGGCGAGAAGTCCAAACGGTACAGGGTAACGCACTGTCGGAGGATACGAATCGACCGAAGTCGGCTTCGAGGACGAATTGTTTCGCAATTTCTATTTCCGATGATTCGCTCTCTTCATTCCATTGCAAAAATGTGCATTCTAAGTACATGAACGAAACAGATTTTAGTCGGCAGTAACATGTCTTTTATGCGCGTGTTTATCACCGCCTGGACAAGGTTCAAAATCATCCAGTGAGCAGCGAAGCTGGTCATTAGTATTTACGATGCACATTCTGCTGACAATCCGACACCACGCATGTCTGAGTTTCTCAGAAAGCGGTTAAAGATTGAGATGTCCTTCTGAGCGCGTCAGAAGGAAGTCCTTGTAAATTTGCCTCCCATAATCGCCAGGCCTAGCAAAGACGAAGATACGAAGTGCATTGATGATCAAAGAACAGACCGCTAATAAGAGTACCAGTGACAGTGACAAGGTAGATGTCCCAAAAAATTAAAGGATCACTTTTGACTGAGTTGTTGTAGCCTGCCATTCTTCCGTCGAGTTAGATCAGCAAGTCTGAAATGGAAGGACAGTAGCAGGGTGACAACGGGGGTACTTTCGAATTCCTTGCGTAGAATGACATCATCCAGTTAAAAACCAGCTTCACCTCCTTGGATTTTGCAAATGGATTTTCGATGCGTCATAAAATTTTTCTAATCAAACCCAAATTAATGCACTTTTTCGACCGCAACGCTCGTTTTGTCGGCTGTTGATACACTTATGTCCTAACCAAGTGAAATAAGTCTCATCTCAGGCTAACAAACGATACCCAGACACAGACTTTGCGATACTTAGAGACTAAAGACACACATGTTTATGTGCATCCGTTTAGCGAAATTACAGGACCGTAAAAGCATGGAGATACAGCTATTCCACGTTACTAAACCTGTGCAACAAAAACCTTCCTCAAAGTTCTGGGATGAGAAAACAAGCATGATGGTATGTCTTTAAAATAGAAATCTGTTATGTTCTCTGAGTTATCTTGTTGTGGACTGAATCATTTTTCGGAGTTTCCTCAGGACAAACTGCGTTTCAAACGTAAGAAGGCAGGACTAATGGTTTACGCTGCTAGACAGAAAGGTACAAATGTTAATAATTTATGGTTTTTTTGCGATTTTGTGACCTGCAGCTGGTTCGAACCTTTTGTGATGCAGTGGCTCAACGAGAACGACGAGATTTCTATGGATTTTCTACGCAACGCCTACCAGCGGGACAAAAAGGATGGGTTTCATCGGTCCAGTGAGCACGCGCTCTTCTCCAATTCCGTGGTAGACGTTTTCACCCAGCTAAACCAGTGCTTTGATATCATGAAGAAACTAGAGTGCCCTGATCCGGCAGTGAACGCGAGGTTCATCAACAGATTTTCTCACGTCAGTATTTTCCTTTTTTAGAATCGAACTGATACCCACTGTTGACCATAACGCACAAGCAAAGCTTTGCAGGCATATTTTCATTACGTTTTTTGCCTCCGTCTTTAATTGCTGCTTAATAGAAGAATGCACGCTTTTGTCTTAAAATGAATATATAGTAAAGGAAGGTATCTCTAAATCCAAGTATTAATTTACATGTTACTGAAGTGAAGAAACCGTTTTTAAAAGACGGCTTATAACAATTAAACATGTATTTCTTACGTATCCTGTAGGCAACCGTGTTCCGGTGAGATTCATACGGGCTCTAAAAATGTCGTATGCGGGTGTTCAACACCCCGGGGGGGGTAGGTGTGACTGGCTGACCACGGCTAATAAGCCAGAAATGGCCATTCCAGTGTCCCTTGTCTTAGTCAGTAGTAGTATTCTGCCCATAATAAGGTTTGTAATATAGATTATCGTGCAGCATAATCCCTAGATATTTCAGTCAGGCCAGGATGCCCTCCTCCAGCCTCCTGTACTCCGCGCAAAATGACTACTTAAGCTGTATAATTTTCTCCATTCCTCTGCTATACAGTATGCGCGAATTCCAATATCTTTTATAGAAAACATGCTCAGAATAGGCCTTTAATTAGTATTTGCGCTGAGACCATCATTAGGTTACTTCTTTGCATGTTAGAAAATGTTTTTTTAAATAAAAGACTGACTGCGAATTGGCGCGAATTCCTTACTCGTTTAATTCCAAGTTGAGCCGCGTTGTAAACTTATTTGTCAAATTCGACTTTCAAAGGTCCTGTCAGCAGGACTGGCCCCTTATTTCTGGAGCGATTTTTCTAGTAAAGACGCCAAAGACAGACTTATCTTGAACGGACTTGAGGTTTAAGCTGCTCTCTGCCCGTTTTGACTTTGTTATTACTACTACCTGCGTGAATTGACGTTTAATTGTGCCCACTGGCGGCCGTAGGTTAATGCAAGTCCATTTTCAGGCAGAACTTGTAGCTCACAATCAAACTTGGTCTCTGCATTTTTTGTTGCAATTGATGAGCGCATACCTTACGCTTTTGGCAACATCTGCTGCCTACGTAATCCCCTCTTCCTAGGGTCCCATTTAGTCCTGTCAGATGCAACCACAGCCTCTGCGCTTACTGATTAAGAAATCTAAATTTGGCACACACGCCCCCTACCAGAGAGCCGGTAGTTGCCGTCCTGGATTACCCCATAGATTCTAATTTCCTCTCAGCAATTCCTTCCGCAGGCAAACTCAAGCGACTCGAGACTACCCACAACCGAGTGTCTATTGAGAAAATGACGAGGCAAGACAGGAAGGAGAACTCTTGAAACTCTGGGGGGTGGCTATTTTCTGCTTAGGGATTTTTAATTTGGTAGAGAGCGTACGATGGTCGAAAAAAGTCGGCATCCAGTTGCGTAATCAAAATGCTTCGTGCTTGAATAGCAATTTCCTCCAGTGTTGCGGAAATTGCGAATTACAAGGTCTGTTGCAGATCCCATGCATTTTAAGAATAAACCAAATGCGTAGCCCACTTTTACGCAGTACTTCAATATTGATTCTGTGTGCCAGCCTTACCCACTTTAGCTTGCCATCCAAACGTCTCAATAAATATTTTACACCGGAGAGTCAGGCAGGGCACAGGAATATGAACCCTCACATACAACAGGTGGTTTTGCACTCGTCATCAGGGTGTGTCAGGGTGAGGATTAGGATTATGGTGGTTAGTGTTAGTGTTATGAGAGTTAGTGCCGCGGCTGTTGCCCGAAGGAAAGTTAGGACACGTGAATAGGCGCCCCCTGGAATTTCGCACAGAGCCACATGTGATGCCGGGGATCCATATTCCCGTCTCCAACCGGACACCATCCTGATGTTTTGCGTAGGGTCGTTATAGAGCTTTCAGCTTCTAATTTTCTCTAAAAAAACATTGAATGCCAACTGAATTTTCGCATCTCTGAGTCTAAGGTATACTCCACGCGTTGCGAAAATCGTCCGATGCTCCAAACAAATGGTGATTTTGTGAGATCCCAGCAAATGAAATGAAGACAACCTGCTTCTTTGTCTTATCACGATGCTTTAAATTTCGAGCGGAATCTTCTCTTTTTTGCGCACACATGGTACTAGTTTAACTGACACATTCGCTTTTTTAGTGTAGTGCACTTCCTGAAACGCGGTCTCGGGGAAATTCCGGTGTTCATTTGTCTCTTTTTTTACTTTCGCGGTGGACGAAAAGTGTACATATTCATAAACCACTGCACCAACGTCCCAATCCCCAACTCAAGTGAAGGCGCCTTTCTCATATCTTTTAATGCAGACTGTGGGCAAGGTGCTACTCACCTACGCAGAGGTGGTGAAAGCTGACTACGATCACTGGCGTGAGACACAGGAGACTGCATGCATCCTGATGAACAATATACAGCAGTGTCGTGTTCAGTTGGAGAGGGTGTACGAGGCCATGGGTGGGGACAGCCTACAGGAGGACACCAAGGTGGTGATGCAGGACCTGCAGCAGATGCTGAACGATGTCATCGATGAAATGGCCCAGAAGTACTCCGTGGCGCTGGAGCCGCAGATACTGCGCCAGATTAAGGAGGTCAACAAGCTGTTGCATCAGGTTTGTGCGCTTATTTGCCGTGCTTCTGTGGTCTTAAAAATCCCAACCCTCCCCCACCTTTGCAGATGCCGGAGCGTGTGGTTACCCAGCAATGCATGGAACGCTGTGCGCGTTGACATCGTGGTAAAACACAATAAATACTTCACTCCGCTTTAGTACTTGGCTCATTGGCAAAGATTCGTTGTATTTTGCCAATATGCGCACTCCCCCATGCAGTTAGCGTGTTCGGTCGACGCGAAAGTGCTTACCTTTGCTTGCGTGACCGATCTCATGAAATTTTGGCCAAAATTCCGGAATGCGTTTCCGATTACGAAGGATTACTTAAGCGGGGTTGTTATACTGATTCTCATGCAGCATAACCCTATAGCATTTCGGACTGGCCAGGATGTCGGCTTTTGAATGCACTTCTCTTTGACTTCCTGCAGAAACCACACTCGGTAAAAAATGACTACTTAAGTAGCATGCATTTTTCCTATTGATTTTCGAAGGTCTTATAAATTCAAATATATCTTATAAAGAACATGCACAAAATATGCGTTCTTTTGACTATTTGGTAGGAGATCAAATTGTCTTCATATTTTATGCCGAAGAAAGTGTATATTTTGGTTTTTAAAAAGTTTCCCAATTCCCGAATAATTTCCAGCCTGATCTGCCATTGCATCATCGTTAAGCAATTTCAGTCTACAAAGTGCATGCTTTCCGCGTAAGGAAAATCATATATTTCTCTATGCCTCTGAGAAGATACCGCATAGCGTTCATGAAATTTTGCAATGGATTTGGACTGTGTTGTTCATTTCATGAGGAGCATTAGTAAACGGACATGTGCTGTCTTGCATCCATGGACATGGCACGATCTTGAGAATCTCATAATCAGAAACTTTTCCATACCCTAAATGTACACTTTCTTCGGGCGTGAAATATGAAGACAATGTGAGCCCCTACCAAATATTCAAAAGAACGCATATTTTGTGCATGTTCTTTATAAGATATATTTGAATTTATAAGACCACCGAAAATCAATTGGAAAAATGCATGCTAATTAAGTACCCATTTTCTACCGAGTGTGGTTTCTGCAGGAAGTCAAAGAGAAGTGCATTCAAAAGCCGACATCCTGGCCAGTCCGAAATGTTATAGGGTTATGCTGCATGAGAATCAGTATAACAACCCACTTAAGTAATCCTTCATAATCGGAAACGCATTCCAGAATTTAAGCCGACATTTCATAAGATGGGTCACGCACTGTACTATGGCACAAAGTAGCTGGAAGGCTTTGTAGATACATGGGTTTACTTGTTGTCCTGCGTGTGGCACGGTAAGACGGACTCTTTAACCTTGTCGGCCACTGCGGCTGAACCAACCTCCGATAGACATGGCATTGTCTTTTCACCGGAGATAAGTGGGTAAGAGGAAGGGAGTGGGCCACGACCTTGTCAGTTACAACGGTCGGACTGTTATTACGTACGGAATATATGCGCCCGCAACTAAACGGACTTATTCGCGTATACGATGACTGAGTTTAAATGGTCAGTTGCACGTGATCATTGTAGTACGCAGAGGATGTCAGAAAGGCGGCATAGCAAAATTGGCACAGATCTGCGAACAGACTCTACATCCCAGACTGATGTTTGCGGGTAAGCCGTTTACCGGCTTTGCGTGAGGGGTCGCCTGACGAAGTAAAATTCTGTTTGACGCATCTGACACACATAAGGTTCGAATTTTCAGGCACTTTCACCGGGGTTAGATAGATACAAGTCAAAGGATGTCACAGTCCAAACACTGAATACAGAGGGAAGCTTGAGATAACCCACTGCCGTAGAAGGAAACGTTTGGCAATGCATCAGATCCCTGACAATATAGTTTTATAGTGTGAAGTTTTTGAACATCATCTATAATTGGCGGTCTTTATGAGCGTCCGGTCCGTCCGTTTTTCGTTCTCATATTTCTTTTTATACGATTGAAGTACGCTTATTAAATACGTACAAATGGAGTTTTATAAAATGATTATATGCACGAACTCGTCGTTTTTTAACGTGTTCTTGAGAAGATTTATTCTCCCAAGTTTTATTCAGTCAAGCACTTACTTAGTCACTTTCAGATACTTGTGTCCCTTTGTCTTGCCTCCTATCCAGTGCTCCACTAGTGCGAATGCTAATGTCGAGGCTGAGGCCGACAATATTCTCCGACCGCTCATGGACCACTTTGAGAGCTCACTTTCTGTCTACGCAGACATCTGTGAGAAGACGGTGCTTAAACGTATACTTAAGGTAGGTTTGGCAATTTTATACCAGCCAGCATCCATAAACCGTCTTGATTTCCTTGTGCTGTAATGCCTCAGCACGCAGCGAAAAAGAAGACTGTTGAATTTTTGTGGATTTGTTCATTAGTTGGTTACTGTGTTTTTCTTCTTCCGAAAGGACGCTGAAGATCATAAGATAGACATGATGGTTGCATGGGAACTGCGTTCCAAAAGTATTGTACCTCAGTTGCGTCCTTCGCTCGTATCTGCGACTGTCCATCTGACGAGTCTGAGTAGGAACTCGAAATGTAGTGCAAATAGATTTCGTGTTCCATTGATCACATGGCACTTTTTGAATGGTCTCTTGAAACAAGCATGTTGGCAACTTTCAGAAAACTGAAACCCGTTTTCCTCTTATAATCAATCTAGCTTATTGTGTGTTACAGGCACGGTAAACTTGTTTAAGTCCTTTAAGTAGCTTAGATATTTGATTATTCAGTATTTCATTATACAGTGTTCGATTTTCCGCATATTTTACTCGAAATTCCTGCTCAGTTGCGCTTCAAAGTTGGTACCTCTGCAGCATTCCGAGTGCCTTAAAGTATGCTATCCTGTCGCAATCCAGCAAGTTAATATGGAACTCTCGCAAAACAGTAGTGATTTTAAGAGCATTTCATCTACTTTACGGTTGCAGTTATAAATTTGTTAAGAGAATGCCGACCACTGGACGACATTGTAGGCTCAATCAAATGTGTGACGGGATAGTTTGAAAAATGATTCCATTCGGTGAGGGGGGGGGCTGAGAAATTAGACATTGTGTCAGGTCTGACTTACGTTTATTTCACAATCAGAAGTCAGAGTGGGGCACTGTAGAAGACTCATGAACATCAGGTGACTGCATGACTTCAATTAAGTGTGGGCTAACATTTGTCTGGAAGGTGATTGAAAAATGTTCTGTTTGGTCGGGCGCAACACGCTCGAAAGGAGACTTCGGTATATGTAGTTGGGCCTGCTATTTCGGACTGCATAATTAGGACTACTCCGTGTCCCCCGCATTAAATATTTTTCTTTTGATGGGCTTTCGGATCAAAACGGTGGCTGCCTGAAACGGGAACGTAGGACCAACGCATTTGGCTCACACGGCCGAATGATTTACCTGTAGTAATCTTTCTATTAAAGGATAAAACTCCGTAATTTCTATTTTTCGTTTGGTACAGACAATTTAGCTAGCTTTCCGCTTCTGTGATGCCAAAAATCAACTTATCAATTAAAAAATAACTCAACTGCAGTAGTTTTTTTACTTCGAATACGCAAACGCAATGTTTCCTACGTTAAGGAAAATAATGTTCGAGACGGCTTTCCTGTTGACCCGAAAAAAAAATAATTTTAGTTTGCGGCAATCGCCAGCCCTCAGCAGGTTCAGTAGGAATATTTAAAGTACCTGAGTCCTTTGAAAAGGCGTACAAATTAGGGAGGGAGGTCAGACCGAGTCGAATGACTTTGCAAAACCGACTAGCAACGGACTGAAGCTACTGTTTGTGACAAACAGGGAGGTAAAGCCCTTGGCGCCGTAAGCCATGCTTTAATAAGATAAACGGCTTGTCCATGATTTTGTGCGCCATTGTTTTGGGCGTTTAAGATTCGGCCTTAGATGCCCGGGACTCCGATCTTTAAATAACACAAATTGATCGATTATAAGAAAGACGGCACAGTGTGATTTCACCATCCTAGTTTCTACTGTTTTAAATCTCCATCGACACTCATTTTGCGCTAAATTGTAGGAACTTTGGAAAATCACCCTACGAACTTTTGAGAAACAAGTGATACTGCCGAATGTTTCTGACCCCAGCGCAATGTTCCTCAGTTTGTCCATCCCGTCAAACGCACAGGCCAAATTAACAAGCGTGTCACAGACCCTGCTCAGCAACGTCAGCAGTCAGCTGCCCGCGAGCAAGTTGCTCCAGGTAAGTTCTCCGTCTCAACAGTTTTCTTTCCAGATCTGCGATGAAAGATTTTCGCAGTCGTTTTAACTTTCCCCTATCTAATGAAATCTACCTTTTCTTATGACTTAGGTAGTGGCGGTTTGATTATTTTCAGGAATGTCTGTGGTCTAACGTGGCTTACCTCCTACCGTGGATTGGGTCGGAGACGTGACTATTATGTTTCGAAATTATGATCACAATTTCATCGTGTGCTATTTCGGTGCGAGGCAAACTATTGGCTAAACGTACATATAATTTGCAATTCCAACCTTTTTGACGATGACTTTGGTTTCATTCTCGGTGACGAAGGAGTCCGGGTCCGATCCCCGAGTCTTTCCAGCCTGACGTTAGATTGGGTATGACTTACTGTGGAATATCAGTAGAGAATGACCATTCCAGTTTACCTTGTAAAACTTCTCGGTGATTGGATTGTGTCTTGTCAAACCTTATAACTATACTTTTTCAGCATGCAACCGTAGTTATGACGTAAATTAAGTTTGGTTAGCCTCTGGTCATGCATTACTCGTGGATGTACCTTGAAGTCCGGATAAGACGCAAAATATCAACCAGTGTTAGGAGTGAGCCATAAGTCGTAGTTAAGCTTAAGCGACAGTTTCATTAGTGAACGTGTTTTTCCCGTTTCCGGCTGTTGCCCAGGCCCCCTTTTTCGAAATCAACAAATGTAGTAATGCTTAAAAGAATTGGGAGTTTTAATATTTGCAGGTTGACAAATTTAATTGAATTTTTATTATCATGATCACAAGTCACGAACATATTTCTTATCCGAAAACAATCCCCATGTAAGTGCATGGTGCTGAATACTTTTAAGCTTTTATTTAAAAGCCAAAATGGACCGGTACGTAATCACAATTTGCTTGACAAAACTACGATAATCACCAAAGGAAAAATCAACTTTACCTTTTTCGGTATTTTACCAGTTTTTCCCCGGTGATGGTAATTTTGTTATCGAATAAATTATGAACGAGTGCTTGGTCCATTTCTGCTTTTGCCACGCATTTTCACATGAGCTATGTTTGAATGTAAGAAAACGTTCGTAAATTGTGATTAGGATTATACAAAGCGGGTACAGTTTTTCAACCGACAAATACCAAATGCATCAGTGGCTAAACGTTCCTGATTCCATATAACTGCCTCTTTGTAGGTCCTTCTTCTTGTGCAATATTTAACTAGAAATACTACGAGTTAAGTAATCGTCTGTTTGACGGCAGCATTCTCTGTAAGGCATCTGATCCCATGTATTCGTGCTGTGTACCGATAGCAACCGAGAGCACTTATTGGCTTAGATTTGCTCACTTTTAGAGGTGTCGGAAGAAAACACAGGCGGCCAGTAAAAAACGATGCCAGTGTGATGTGTCCGCCTACATTTCTACGTTCGGCTCTTGGTTGCAACTACTAAGACCTAGGAAGACAGTATCGGCAGATAGCATTATTCCGCACTACTTTCTTTCCATGCTTCTTTCATTGAAATGCTGATAATGCTGCCTATAGGAGTACCTCTTCCGTTACCAATGTCAGCCACCACTTTTTCAAGAGCAAAGTGTTATTCGTTAACCGGTTTCTGACGGCAAACTACAAGTCTATAACCCCACAGACCTGTTGCTCTATGCACGAACCCTAATATGGTCTCAAAAATTATGTCTAATTCGCCGTCAGAGAGGGTAGCTCTTGAAGACACTTTAGGAAGGAAGCATCGAAGCCTGACTCCCTTTCTTGAGACCAAATAATTAAATCTATCAGTTGGCTGACTTCAAAGCCGCGATTTGTATCGTGTCGTCAGGAGTTAGGAATGCGTCTAAGTTTTTTTGCGTTTTAAGTAGTAAGCTTAGGGCAGCGCATAGGCGTGCTGAATACTGAATGGCATGGTTGGGCGCCCAAACCGTCTGCTACCAATAGTTTCCAAAAATATCGTTAAAGCAACAAATATTTGCCTGTACGTTAATACCGACAAAGACAAGGGAGACTGGAATGGCTATTTCTAGCTTATTAGCCGTCGTTTGGAACACCTGGGGCTCGAACTCGCGACCTGTTATTTAGAAGTTCAACTCCTCTAACCACTGGGCCACTGGCCCGTTGTCCTGTCGGTTTCGATCGGGAATATATAATTGGTCGGGGATTCGTAAGTTGTCGAGCTATCTACCTACCAACCATTGCAGTGCAGCTGTGTTCCACCAGACGAAAACGTCTCCTTTTCTGGTCACTTCGTTAAGTGGCAATCCTATTTTCGAAATGCCTGATGTTTGATTAGATCTGCTGATAGAAGATTCAATCAACTCATCGATATACTTGTCTGTTATCACAAGGCTACCAGCTTGTCGTCTGTTAAGGTGGTTTATGTCGAGTACAGGTGGCTTAGAAATTTCGCTATCAATTCCCAGCCGGTAGATAGGGTAAAGACTTACAAGTTGAAGAGGAAACAAGCTTAGGAACCGTCCCATCTCCTCTAATTTAGTGCGAGACCACAGGTAGTACTAGGGAGGGAGGAGGGCATATTCCCTTCTCCGACCTGATTTGCCCGCGTCACTGTGCCTACTGCCCTATGGATGATGCAGTGGTGGAACAGTCTCGAGTCGTGCACCGGCTCAGCGTTGCTTTATTGAGTTCGTGTGTGTTTGTGACCTGTTTATAAAAGAACCAGTTGTTCTGTTGCGAAACAATATCCTTTACCTTAATATATGTGAATCGTCAATATACTCACTTCGATACCGCATCGATTCTACAGCGTCCGTGCGCTAAAAATATACGCGTCTGCGTAGCAGGTCTCGAAATGTAGTTCATACCTTTGGTATCTTTTCTCAAATACGCATAATACCATCACCTGTAATCTTTTTTCGCCCTAATAGGAAATCTCCAAAGAAACTGGTGCGTCTGGACTAAAAAATCTGACACCGTGGCACTGCCAGATACTTAACATCGCCTTAGATGCCATTAAAAACTATTTCCACGCTGGTGGAAGTGGACTAAAGAATACCTACTTGGAGAGATCGTCCGAGCTGCAGTCGCTGCAGTATGCGCTGTCCCTATATTCCCAAACTACTGACAGTCTTATCAAGACCTTTGTCTCCACGCAGTCGACTCAAGGTTAGTGTGGTTTGTTTTTTTACTCTGAAATAACTGAATTCATAAAAATAATAGAATACTGATAACTAGGCTGCTTTCCGCGTCCTTTTCTAACTTATTTTTTCCTGTGTGAGTACTGCGCATTGGCCATCGTCTAAGAAGCTTTGTGCGGAAGGCGAGGGGTATGGATTTTAACGTCTTGTTGCTAAGTTTGGTTAACATTGGTATATTGCTGTGCCACAACTGCATAGCCAAGTTGACAGTTTTCCGTCCGTGTGGTCTCGCTCCCTTTCCGCTTAGAAAGTACATGTTTTTAGTGACCACCGACGTTGCAGCGCACGGGTCCTGCATACCGGTTTGCCCACAAAAATATGTTTTTTATAATGCGCCTATGGGATCATGCACTTGATGAGAAAGAGCATAGGATGTTTTATAGATACTTGCATAAATTAGCATACCTGGGAAGTCATCCAAGCCGTGGGCCCTCCGTAGGCTACCTTATTAAAATAAGTAACTCAAGGGAATTATAAGGGAATTGGGTGAAACACCGGCTGCGCGCATTAAGTAGGACTACGAAGATCATGTTGGCGTGCCCCTGGGATAATAATATTCAGTCCTGCAACTGGAAATGTAAGGGAACTCTCCGACGAGTATGCTGCGTCTGTATTTTTCGAACTTTTAACTCTCCACTCTAGTGGTAATCTAGGTAAACCTCCAGCATGTTTTTAGTATTGTTGGGAATCTAACTCTGTGAAACTTGAGACTAGTTTTTTTCTAACTGGACGAGTAACTGTTTCCTCGCGACGGCCGAAGAGAAAAAGTTGAAAGTCAGTTGGGTCTTTGATGCATGCGAAAAATAAGAGGGCGTCGACAGGGAAGACAGACTTCTTTCCGCATTAATGTGATTCAGCACTCCTATTTCTGCAATACACAAGCTTTGAACATTTATTAATCCGCAAAATTTTCTAATCGAAATTGCCGTGTTAGACTGAAGTCAGTAGCCTTGCGCAAATAAAATATTTCAGTCAGCTGCATTTAAAGACCAAACAGTGCGCAGATAAAATCATTGCAATGAAAATACTTTCTACGTGTTATCACTTATCCTTGTCAAACAAAGGATTGCTTTTTACTGTCTGACTGCCTGTCGCATGCGTGTTTGTTTTTAGTGTTTACACACTTTTTCGTTCCCGAAGCGTTAGTGCTTTTGAAGACGTCGCCTCTTACCCTTCAATATGCTGAATCAAATAGAAGGGTGGTAACAATTACATTGGCACCTACTCAGCAGTATCACACAGCAAGTTTGATTGTATTCGCCCGTTATAAAAGTTATGAATTCGGAGGTTCCGTGCGCAGTTTTGCTCCTAAAACTAAGCTGTATTGGATAATTTTTAAATGGACTTCTAGTAGGGACCTGAGGCGGTATCGCAACTCAGTATGCCCCACTTTTTTATTATACGACATACTGCCTTTGAATGTTCATGCGGGCAATACCAAGAGGAGCTCGTGCAAGCTGCGACCCTAAGGGCACATGTCCAGTCGTTTCTGTAGGTTTTATCTTTTTTTATATCTTTCTCATTTTCGTCGTAGACAAACCGGCTGTGGAGGACGGTGTTGGAGAATTGTCCATCCAAGTTGATCTCTTTCGTCATCCGTCACACGGTGAACACAAAGTTACAGTTACAAGTAGGTTTTCTTTGGTCTTTTACTTTTTATGATAGAGTTGAGTAGTAATTTCACGAGGCAGGTAGGACAACCGTTTTCCCATGTCGGTTATTTGCTGTCTCCATAATTCATACTTATTATTGTTGAAAATTACGAACTGATGTCTTTCGATTTTCTGCTTTATGTATTTTGTCTCACGTGCTGACTTTCTATAATTTTTCTAAGCTGCCATAACCCGCAAAGAACGTTTCAGGACCTCCAAAACAGAAGTTCATTTGCCACATTATTTCTGTCTCTGCACTTTATAATTATGCGGTTTACAGTCCTTTTACTCTTGAGTGTTATTTTTCTCTAGATATGGTAATTTAGTCACTCCAGCTGTTTGTTGCTGCACTAGCTGCTTGTGTAAATATTATTTCCTAAAACAACCCCTGCTGTAAGCGTCGGTAATCTAATGGTTTAAACTCCTATGCGTCGATTTTCATCGCAAATTCCAGGGCACAGTATTAGACTTGCGCCGAAACCACCTCCCCCATATTCTTATGCACACTGCGTCGAGAAGTCAAGGCAGCTATGGATAGATAAAGGTGCAGTATAGCAAGACTTAACCGTCCCTCTATGCATACTATACTCGTCCAGGTCTCCGATCTCTTCAAGTTCTAGGCTTCAAATAAAGAAGACTGAGATCTTGCCTAAGAAGGAGTGCCACAAACGCTCATCTAAGACGGTATTGCTTCCTGATACCAGTCCTGGGAGATCCGAATTGTCACATCGGTCGACAACCTACCAAGCTGCGAACGTTAGTGCACTGTGTTGATTCGAGAGGTCATTTTTCTTTAGGATAAGGTGATACCATACTAACAGCACGGGCACTAGCCAAAAGCCCATACACGCGTGTTTCACCTTACACTAAAGTATACTACTAGTTGTCTGTCGACAGTTAATGAATATTACGTGATTACACGCTGTGGCTGATGGACTTTGGATCAGATATTCATACATAAAATGTTCGGTCTGAGCCTATAGACCTTGAATAAGCTGATCTACACCAACTTCGTAGATAAGTTCTGAGGAAATAAAAAAACTACAGAATCATTTGTGTCTGCACATTGACGACGCTAAAAACCTGGGACTTCTGCTCCCTTCTTCCCTCTCTCATATGCCAGTTGTTTATTTAACTCATACCGATTGCTAACAAGTTTGGACTCAATTGTTGACATTACATAAGGCTGTCGTCCAGTTAGCTCCAGACACAGACTTAGGTCTCGCATGGATGAGAGGTGCCGAAACAGCCAGACTTAGAAAAGGTCATTGTAGTCCTACCTTAGTTTGTACAGAAGGATTGAGATATCAAATCGGCATTCAGCCTTTACATCTAAGAATTTTGCAGTTTAGTGATAGTCGTACATACAGTGAGTGACCGATCTCATGAAATGTTGGATTACTTGGAGGATTACTTGGTCGCGGTTGTAATACTGCTTTCTCACGATATCATCCTGCAATATTTCGAACTTTGCAGGCTGTCAGCTTTTGAATAAACTGCTTGTTCATTAGCTTTAGAAACCGTACGCGCAAAAGATGACTTCTGATGTAACATGCTTTTTCTCCATTGATTTTTGCTGGTCTTGCAAATTCAAATGTGTTTTATAGAAACCCCGAACAAAAATATTCTTTCTGCAGTAGCTCGATAGAGAATCATGTCATCTTTATATTTTATGCTTGAAAAAGGAGTACAATTATGTTTTAAAAAAGTTTATATTTATGAGATTTTTTAAGACCGCGCAATGTCCATTCACATTGCACCGTACCTGTATGTTTACCACTGCTCCTCGTGAAATGTACAGCACGGTCCGCATTCATTACAAAATCGTATGGACCCCGCATGATATCTTTTAAATGGCATAGAAAAATATGTGGTTTTCTTTACGCGGAACACGTGCACCTTGTAGACTTAAATCACTAAGGGCTTATGTAACGAATGACCAGGCTCCAAATTAATCGGCAATTAGAAAACGTTTTTACAACCTAATTAAACTCCTTCCATGAGTAGAAAGTATAAAGATGACATGATTATCTATCTAACGACTGAAGAAGGAATATTTTTGTTCGGGGTTTCTATAAACCATATTTGAATTTGCAAGACTAGCAAAAATCAATGGGAAAAATGCATGCTACATCAGTAGTCATCTTTTGCCGCGTACGATTTCTAAAGCTAATTGACAAGCAATTTATTCAAAAGCTGACAGCCTACAGAGTCCGAAATATTGCAGTATTATGTCGATAGAAAAGCAGCATTACAACCGCGACCAAGTAATCCTTCCTAGTCAAAAACGCATTTCAGAATTTCAGCCAACATTTCATGAGATCGGTCACTCACTGTACGTCATCTAGAAATGCTCTGAGCAGCTACTGGAAAAGATATCTTAGTGTCAAGCTTACTCGCTCTTTCCTCTCCCATCCAGCAGTGGTCTGTCCGGACTTGGCGGTTGACTGGGGGAGATTAGTGTCAACGAGTGACTTTGTGTAAGCTTTCACCTGTTCCCTGACAAAGTCATGTATGGGCGCGGGAAAGCTCAGCCATCACCAGCAACAAAGTCAGTAGCTGTCAAAGAAAAGGCCCATTGACGATTCGAGAATGACGTTGTATAGTAAAGTAGACCTACAGTATCTACTCCACTGCCTAATCGCACAAAAAACCGTGTTCCTGTGACTGGACAACGTCCGGACAACCGGGCTCAGTGACTAGTGTTAGATTTGCCTCCGCCTACCACACGTCACATCTCTTTGCGGCAATAATCGAAGATTCCCGCAGACTCAGCACAGCTTGACTAACGCATGCTGGGAGCCAGTTGTGTCATCACCTTTTGGGTACCGTAACAGTGGTGTAGTTTGATTATACGTGATGCGCAACCGTCTTGGGGGTCAGCGAAGAATTTCATCCTTTTTTTCCTTTTCTACCAGAGTGAGTTTGCCATGGTCTGCTTTTTGTTTACCAACTTTGAAGTAGCACTGAATGTGCTTGCCTTCTATTTTCCTATCCTGTCTTTCCAACAGTTATGGCAGCCAACAACCTCAAATGGGTCACCAACGGAACCTTTCGTCCATTTGTTGAAGTTCACATTATTGGCCCGCTGTTGGCTCACAAGAAACGCAAATTTGCAACAAAGACTAAATCTAACGTTTGGTCTCCGATCTTCAATGAGTCTTGCACCTTGTAAGTTCTAAGTCGTTCTTTTGAGTTTTCTCCCATCTTATTGGTAAACTTTCTGCTTGAACTTGGGGGTCTAATCTCTGCAAATGTAGTCGTTATCAGCCAGCTTCCTTCGGCAAGTTACATCCCAAAGTCCGGCTAACTTTAGGATTGCAGCGACATTGATGATGACTGCGACTAGGTCTTGCAAGGGTCTGCACATGTCAACAAACAAATGTGTGTTCTGTCAAGTTTTCAGTACTGCATATGAAAGTGTATTTTAGTGCACAGATTGGGCGGAAAATTCATATATAAGACGGCGAATTGATCGAAACGATTTCCGCGCTCCCAATTGAAGAAAAACCATGCGGTATTTCGAACAGCATTATCGTATTAATTAAGTCTAAGGCATTATGAAACTTTAACAATACGCAAGTATTTATCCAGGGGCGCCTCCTGTTGATAATCGAACCTGCCCACATTTTTGTTTGGGCTTCAAACACTGTACATTCGTGGGCCCTTTTTCATGACAGTAAAAACAATGTAAATGATAGCGAGTAAATACTATTTAAAAAACGGTCTGTGCATAGATCTCAAGGTGATTTTACAAGATAGTGAATGCGAACGGAAGGTGAGTGTTGAGGTTGGCTGGGCTTCAGCCGCCCCAACTGTTGTCTACCTCCCAGCCCAAGACATCACTTGTGAATGCAAGTTGAAGGTATAACCATTTTCAAGGCTGTAGACATCTGAGGCTGGTCTGAGCTGGTAGACTATCCCTACCTTCCCCGCGCAGGACGCAGTTGGTCGAAAGCAATACTTAAACTCTTGCTGCCGGCAAGGTCCATGAAACGGCCTGGTCAGGGTGTCCTCTCAGGAGCTCACTCGTCGCGTCCCCTTGAAAGGGGATTTTGAGGAATAGAGTTTTCTACAGGAGTTTGTTATTTCACAAACTCTTGCCAAATACTCATGCACTCCGATACGAACACATGTTTTAACTGCTTTGTATGGGACCGTAGTTGTTAGGCTCATAATTTTTAAAAGGACTGGTCTTGTAGTATTTGTGAGCGTCAGTTTTCGTCTTTCTTGTTCTCCCCCTTCTTGTGTTCTATTTGTGTGTTTAATGTATTTTTTCTTAGTCTTTTTTTCTGATGATTCTGCATCTTAATTGCGTGGCCTTATGACATGGGTGAGGCCATTCTTTTGGTACATCAAATATTAACGGAAGTAAAATGGCAAACAAGACAGTATTTGGTGGCGCCATCGTGCTTGTGGACCTGATACATCGCAAACGGCGTTTAGTTATGCCTGATTAACGTTGCATGCTGTTTATCGTCTATCACGTTCCATTAATTTTAGACTATTTCATTTAATCCGATCCTAATCTGTCGGTTACTGGATATTCTTGAATGTCTAATCGTCCTATTCGGTGTCCCCAGTATTACACCATATGTCTTCTAAACTGGTGACGGAAAAATCAGTTGATATATAAATATGCAAATGTCGTCTGCAGTTGAATAAGACATTCTATGCTGTAAGGGACAATTATTTACTGCTTACATTGCAATGTTTACAGTATCTGAATTTATGTTAGAAAAACCGAAACCATACTATAGTTGCGAAAGTTCTCTATGAGAAAATATCTTGGTCGCTGCCTTTTACGACTTCACAAGCACGTTCCCTTTTGATACGACTAGGAGCATCTTTTTAGGAAATTGCTCTCCTGTTGTCCTACATTCCATCAATACAAACTTTGGGTGAGTATCGCCTAGGTCCTAAAGGAGTACTTGCCAGATTCCTGGATTCCGCTTACATATCAGAAACGTTTCCTGAATTCAGGAACAAGATCAACTCTGGCACCCGTTTCTCGTTGCGTGCCGTTGTTTGAGCGTCAATTGCCCTAGATCCACCTAAATCGATACCATTTCGAATGTAAATCGAGTGGACGTGCAGACTTTTTGTTTGTTGCCAAGGTGGGGGAGTCACACGACCATGTTGTCCCACCGTTCAGAAAGTATACGGCTAAGTATCTGTCTCGTAAATAAATTCGGTCTTCGATGACAAATTGAGGGTTACGTCCAGCGCAAAAATTAAAGTTGTGGCCTTTCGCTCATTCTAAAGACGACGCTTCCGGTCCACACTTTGCCGCTAACTTCACATCTTGGCATTGCTGCGGAGACTGACACTTCCTGTGAGCACCAATACTGAATGAATCCAACGTCAAAGGGGTGTTCCCTAAGGATAGAACATGCTCCTCTTCCGCATTTTTCAGCAGAGGGTATTGCATAGCTCTAAGCAGTCCAAAAGCAATAGACTCTCGAAAACTGGGTAAAAATAACTTAGACCCTTTACCGCCGAACCTATCAATTTTTCAGTTCAGCGTAGTTTGTTATTTTACTGCAAGTATTATTTTGCAAGACCGCAATGCCGCCTGTCCACTCTACCCATTTTGCTCATAAAACCTTGGGTCATTTTGGAACCAGTAAATGGCAAAACTATGAGCCCATCATTTGGCTGGAGCATCGTTTTATTTGATGAGCCAGATCAGCTGACGTGCGCATTAAATCAAAGAGGAACGATCACATTATCCAAACGTGAAAATGACCGTTATGTCAAGCTGGTCTCTTTATTTTGCATAAATGTTGCACTAAGTGCTTTGCATCGCACTGGTATTAACAGCTTTTCGGACAATTCTGGTCAGGCAGGATATGCAAATTATCCAATGAAAAAATTTCCGATGTGATTTGTGCATGCGCAATGTCCATGTACTTGCCAAAATGGTGTAGCATTTAAACAGGAAAACATTTATAGGCAAAAAGCCTTTTCGGCTAAGGGAATTCATTTAGAAAAGTTAAAATAATTTATAGTAATATCGGCGTAAATTTTGACATGTTTATGACCTTGTGGATTGTGATCTTGTGGATTTATCCTAAAGCACGCAAAAAAGCGGACAACGGGGAAAGTAAAGTACTCATACATTTTGGAAATCACCAGAGCATGCGAAGGTCGTGTGAAGATAGTTTTACATGCCTAATCAGATGTTCCCCGTAGAAAAGGTGCCAGCCTGACCACCAGAAATATTCCGCTGAGACGCAGTATTGCCTTTGATAAGACAAAAAGACTGGAGGTTGAGGAGGCGAGATTAGTAATAACATATGAATATAACTGTTCCGATAGCCCGCGGTACTTCAACGAAAGACTTGGGGACAAGGGGATGGCAAAGGTTCATACAACTGGGCGATATTAAACTTTTTACGCTAGTCCCAGTCTCTAATAGCGGCAGACTGGTGGTAGTAATGCATGTATATTCAGACATTAAGCAATTACTGTAGAGACTGACATCAACCGTGTAAATCTCTAGGTCATAGGCGGCCGCCATTCAACATGCCAGGGCTTCTGGGATTGAGGACCATGTTGTGCTGTTCTACGTAGGTAGAGTATGTTCAGCAGTCGACAAGCCGATAGGCATTTCTATTTAAGAGTTGCAATTACACACTTTTGGATGACGTCCCCACTGAACTACAGGTAAGAGGGGAGCAAGAAATGCACAAGTACGCGCACGGTAACCTCCCTTTGGTGCGTCAGAATTTGAACGGACAGATAGAACTGCATCATCTGAATGATTTGCTCTGTTTTCACCACAAATTGCCAGACGTCAGACTTACTAGACAAGACTGTTCTTCAGGCAGCGGCGCCAACTACTTTCAGATTCATTGGCGGAAACGGAACCAGCAGGAATGCGAATCAATTTTGTTTGTTTTTATATGATAGTTATACTGGCATTGTGCGGACCGTCAATCAGCATAGATTAGTTGACAGACATAGCGGACTGAGATACTAAGGTCAGCGAAAATATACAATACGTATACTAGAGAGACAATGGGGAAATTGGATAGAGTCATCGAAAAACAGGTATTGCAGTCGTTTCTCAAATATTTCCGTCGATACGTCACGGGCACATTTGGCATCCATACCAGGTCAGTTGGCGGAGGGGAAAATAAGATAAAGTGCCTTTTTAGGTCTATATCATCACCTGCATATTCCAAGGTGTAAGTTCGGCCTGACGAATTCTTCTTTTACGGAAACGCGATTTAAGAAAGGCCTGATAAATTCGACTTAGGCAGCTTAATCAATTAAGGTTTGGAGGGAGCGTGCATATCTATAAGGTGCTTGATTATTGACTTGTCTGCCCTTTAATTTTTGGTATGAGCATGTTTTATAGTCTTGGGGAAACCTAAGCCACAAATAAACTTTTCTATTTTCTAATGGTAGTCCCACTGATCACTGCCGCTCGATATTTATTGTAATGAGGGCGATTTCGCTGTAGTTTTCTCTCATGCTCTTGACATACCTATCTTGGTTCATTGGAACAGTTATATTTAGACACATAAAGACGACTATGGGGACTTTTGCTGACTAGGTGTTTGCAGCTGGTCTTTCTCCGAAGACTTGGTAGGTAACAGACTGTTGATATGCTTTTTGGGTCCTGTGGTCCAGAACCACCCGTGTTTGGAACTATACCGTAATAGGAGCCAGTTTCTGAAGCATTATGGATCTGTGGATTGTGCTACGAAGTAACTCCATACAAAAGACTGTGGAGGGATGCATTAGCTCAGGCTGCAAATACATCGTTATCAGTAGCACTGCCTTTATCATGGCTTGTTTGCACGTATTGAATCGCGCTCGGTAATGCCGAGAACCTTATGTTCTGTCGTCTTGTGCCCTCTAGAAATCTATCTGGAAGAACGCTGGCCTTATTTCATAAGATAAAACTCAGGGACGGCTGATAAATTTATTTGGCAATTTTTTTGTATCTCAGATTGGCAAAATTTAGGAGATCCAGTGTGGTTTTCGTTTTTCTCAAATTTTGGTGACTCATGTTCGAGTCCCAGCCCTGTAGAAGGGCAAAGTCTTCCCGGTCTACAGCCATGTTGTATTGAACTGATTGGGCAGGTGTGGAAAGCGGCGCATGCTCTCAGTGGGGGTTCTAGCTGCCCCGTGAGTCCTCTCCCCGCCGTGCCGAAATCTCAGTGGTTGAACCCTTCCCCCACGCGTGTTGGACGGTGCCAGACGGTGCGCGACCCTGGCGAAGGCGGTGGTAGCAAAGACTTACGGCTATCGCCGCCTTCGCCAGAGTAGCACACCGTCTGGCACTGTCCAACACGCTTGGGGGAGGGATCAACCACTGAAATTTCGACTCGCTAAGTGTCCGACCCACCTATTCACTGCCACTTGCAACACCGACTGGCCAGCCGCTGCACTTTATTAACCCCATAAAAGTAGACGTTTAACTATGCAAAAATGCATTAACTAAATAAGCAGTCCTGTGCGAATACAGTAGTCTCTCCCTACGTTGCGCTTCGATTTTTTTGACGTCACTCTATTTGGTTCGCGGATTGCTGAGGGCAGTGGGCTTTTTATTTGCGTTACATGCTTCCTAATCTGGATTGCCTAGTTAATTTCACAGACGTGACGTTGATGGCGGATGGCTGTAAAGCTGCTCAAATGAGCACCGCCAAGTATTTTAATTTCAGCGAGTTCCACCCAATATCTTAAAGAGTAAAAAGATAAAAATTGTAGAACTGCGTGGGAAAATATTTGTAAGAATGTAGTAAGTGTTGTTCGAGTAAACTACCAGTCCTGTGCACACAGAAGAACTTCATACAGGTCCCACAGTTGCTATGACTCAAAGCCACCATGTCAACCACCCGCATGTAATTACCTTCGCCGGGACCCACCTTCTCCCTGGCGCTGATTGGAATTGTGGTGTTTCACTATCCCCCTCCCCTCTCCAAACCCGAGCTACAGCTTAATTATCTACTTGCCCGTATCTTTTAATTCACTTCTTCAATAGTCATATAAATGTACACGCCTGAAGAGAATTTATCGAAAGCAGACGTATGCTCGCCAAATTGCCTTTCGAATATAGTAGGTTTTTAAATCGCAGAGTTCCACTGCTAGCGGGGGTTTTTGGAACTCGACCCCCGCGAGTGAGCAGGGATCACTGTATGCCAAAGTCTTCCCTCTTCTCCCGCGTCTTTCCTTCATGCACTCAATTTTTTGATTTTAGCGGCCACGCACGAATGGCCTAGGGATAACTTTATGTAAACTGGTACATCCATATGTGGAAATTATCAAAAGGCGCGTTATATGAAATTCTAAGCAGAATAATCAGTCTCTCGGTAATTTACCGTTGAGTAAGTCTTAATGCCGAACTCCTACCTATTGTTGGCCCGGCATTTATGAGATTTATCTCCGATTGCTTTTTACAGCCTTCTTGGAGCGGGTTCCGATCCCGAGTCCTATGAACTACACATGTGCGCCAAAGACTACTGTTTTGGCCGCTCTGATCGTCTTGTGGGTCTCACCGTGCTGCAACTGCGGGACCTAACGGCGAGTGCAGATACGCTGGGCATCGGAAGCGGTGCCTGCGCTTGCTGGTGTGCCCTCGGTCGTCGGCTCAATCTCGACGACACAGGCTGGACCATCCTGCGCATTCTCTCCCAGCGTCCCCAGGACGAAGTTGCCAGAGAGTTTGTGCGACTTAAGTCCGAGGTTCGTAGTCAAGATGATTCACCTCCCACGGGGCCGCGGTAGATATCCGGAATACCTGGCCGAGAGTGAGCGGGTGAAGCGTGCATCCAGGAAGCTGGACGTAGTGTTGGACCTTCGCCAACCTTTTATCCCCTGATGTTTGTAAATTCCGTTTTTGCCGCCGCCTTTTCCAGGGTCTGAATTTCTTGCTGCCCCTCTGCCCCCTTTCGAGGTCCTGAGCTTCCATTTTTACTTCCCTGCATCCACCCCTTCTTATGTTCCCGTGTTATTACTCCCCTCAGTGCCTGGAGATGCGCTCGTTGTCAATGATAGTGCGCTTACCTTTTGTGTATCTTGAATTAACTGTGCATTGTACATACTCACGACGCGTGAAGCACTCAAGTGACGTGCGCATCTCTGTCTTCGCCATATGCTATTCTCTTTTTTGTGATCAGCATTCATCAATGGAGATCTTGAAAGTTGTGTGCACATTTATTTCCATTATGCAATTATTTACAAACGTTGAATGGATAAAAGAGTGCTGGAATCACGAAATAGTCTTCGTCCTTATGCATTATTTCTCGGCCTTATATTTTCGAGATCGCGCCCAAAAATGAACGTATTCACTGACTTGGTTGTATTTTAAAGAAGCATATGAGTGACGCCTTTTTAGTGAAGACATTTCATCCCATATCTGCCTACAGCTCGGCCAGAAGTTCAGGTAGTTAAAATGACTGATCGGATCTTTTTAGATGAAACATGCCTTAGTTTTATGTTTCTGACGAACGCGAATTCTGTTGCCAAAAGTAATTACGTAACTAGACAGCGATTTTCGAGTTTGCTTTGCACTTTTCACCCGCTCCCATTGAATACAAAGGTCAATTCCCAAACAGGCGGAAACCGGCGATAGCTTGCACTTTACTTCAAAGGCGAAGGTAATTTTATGCCATTATTTACGATTTAAAGACGCCCAAATTAGGCCGTTAAATGTGCTGACGGGTCCAATCCGCGAAGATTATGCAAGTTCTCAAGAAAATAGCAGTAGGTAAACTTATGAACATTACGCATTTCTGAAAGCGACAATCATCATTATCTAACAGGTGTGTCGGATTTGCGATGTACCGATAAACAAATACACGACCCGCGGTTTTTCATCGTGAAACATCGAAGTGAAATTGTTTCGATTTTCTTGTCTCCCGAACGTTGTTTTATAGATTGTGTCATCTGCTTACAATCCATGTGTAAATATCTCCCCTTCCAAATTTTCGGCTATCTACTAGACGTGTATCCGAAGGGGCTGAATAGTAAGAGAATCTAGTCTGAAACTGTGTAGGTGGAGGGTATGGAGCGGTCGCTCGAAGATATGTTGCAAGAGTACGTTAGATGAACCGAGAGATCTTTTGGCAGTCTAGGAGTTGGAGAAAATTCCATGAAATCACCATTATAGAAGCAAATTTAATCGTCACAGTATTTTATGTTTCAATACTTTTGGTTAATGTCACCTATTGTGGAAAGTCTGTGTGTCATTTGTCTCATCAAGTGCATTTTGAATTAGTGCCATCGTTCCCACAATAATGCTTCTCGGAAATCCTACCCGACATGACTATAAAGGCCGAGCGGAGCGTAGTACAGTTTAATCGAGCACGATAATAAAGTTGGCATGGCCGATTGTGGTCATACTCCACAGTTTTTCCTAGCATACTCACGCATCTGAACTCATGTTCAGATGCAACCTGAACATTTCATGAGACCTTGACAAATAATAATGTCTACCCAACCTTATCCATGCACAAGACTACTTAACGTAAGTGTTAGTTAACCATCTTCAGTCAGGATTAACCCAATCAGTTCAGGCTAAACGGTGACACTCGAAACTTTTGCCTTGTGCAATGGCTGGAAATGCGGCTATTTTGGCGTGTTTATCCCGCCTTTGCAGGATTTTTCATTAATATTTCAAGTTAATAACAATTGTTGATTGAGGGCGTGAGCTAAGTGTCATCGACGGGAGAGCAAATGTGTTAAGTGAGAGTGTCTGTGATTCTGGTCCCGTTTCTGTTAAGGTTGTCATCTTTAAAACGCTGTCTAAATGTCGAAAACGGCATTGGAGAAAACTTTTTGGATTCGAAACCCGTTGCGGGCTCAAGCCACACTCAGAACAGAAGGGTTATAACGGTGTGTGTAGGTTTCGATTTTACACTGACCGGAAATAGGGCTGAACCCTTACCTTCGGGCTTAGTCAGCGGCAAGAAGCCCATTGATGAAAAAGTATCTTAGGCAAGAGGAGTATGCATATGCTAGCAAAGCCTAAAAATTTGGTAGGTATGAATGGTCGATATCAGAAAAAACCTTCGGAGTGGCAGTCAGAGGGCAGTAGTGTTGCCTTCAATAATAAGAACGGTTGAATTTATTGCCCAATTAATGAAAGCATACTGTTTTACGTTGGCTGCCTAAGTGTTAAATCGTGGATAATTTTACTAAGTGATGCATCCTTTAATAAACAACTCTATTTGCACAAGTGAAACTGAGAAGAGCGTTTCCAAAAAGTACTACAAATATTAAAGTTTCCGTTATATCTGGGGAAGACGCAGTTGCATACCTACATAAGGATCGTTAAGAACAACACGGTAACAACCACATAGATGTTTTGTTGTAGTATTCGAAAAACATATCAGAAAACAGGATATTTCTCTAAGTTTGTTTGATTTTATAGAATTAGCTGAGGGTTAATAGAATCCGTGCTCTGGGATGCGCGCAAATACTCCCATTCATGTGGCAACTCAGTCTTGTTTATTAAGTTGAATAATGCAGACGTGATAAACAACTGGCTGTTGATCATACCTGGCGACATTAGTCATATTGAGCCCTATAATGGATTTAAAGTTGGTCCCAGAGCGAGTCATGTTCTTAAAAACGTCCTTAAGCCAAAACATGAACTGCCCGACTGTTTGCTAAATTCTGCCGAGATATAGAATTATTACGCGCTGAAGTTGCTTGGCTGTCTAACGCAGCGGCCCTAAAGTTTTTTCTAACCTGGAACCAGTTAAGGACCCTCTTGGAACATCAAGAGGATATTTTGTACGACTTAATGTATTAAAATATGGGTGTGTTAAGAGAGCGCGTCTGGCCATTATACTTTTCCGGTGGCAGCGGCCCAACATCAATGAGTAAATTTGTGACGGAAATACCATAAAGCAGATAACTGAACCAATCACCTCCAGACATTCACAAAGACTGCCCTCAAGCGTTGACTAATTTCCATTGTTAAGAACTGCACTTCATCGTGCTGTGCCATTTGTAACACCAGTTGAAAAAACCAATTTCTACCTCTTGTCGTAACCGACTGAATAGTTGGACCAGTTTAGTAGTCCCTTTGAAATTTCTAACTGTTTGGTTTCTTATGGAAAAAACTTAAAAAAATAATCCAACTTCCAAACGGGCAAATTTGAGTAGAGTGACTACATATAGCTAAAGCCGTTTAGAAAGACAACTGCGATGCTACTTCGCCATGACACTCCGTTTGAAAATTCTTCGAACAGCGTGAATACGGGATGTAATCTAACAAGCAATTAATTATTGCGAATGTCTTTGACCTATCGTATCTTATGTTTTTTTGCCAACGACGGCAAATTTTAGCTACTTGACTGAAATTCGAATTTTGTAAACATATCGTAGTATTTTTTTAAAAGTCGTCACTCGCTATCCCCGTGACGTCTTCATTTGCACTCTGGTTATTTTTGTTTTTTAGCGTCTTTACACAATATCTACCCGGAACCTTCCATTTAAATAATACATTTAGAATAGCTCTATAGACCGCGTTGTAGATAACAAAGAGCTATTTTTCACTCCAGCATAAAAAACGCAAAAGTTACTTTTTTTGAATAGTGAGTTGCCTTTTAACATATGTTTATGACCAAAATTGATTTGCAAATTTCACTTTATGCAAAAGAAGCGAATTAACTACCTTTCATGACTTAATCAATCCTGTTCTTCAAGTTTTAAAGAGACAGTGTGAATCCCGTGTGGACCATTCCTCCGGGAGGACAGCATTGTTCGCCGTTTGAGGTCTTGATCCCGGAACTCGGCAGCCCATAATTGCAGACAGGTAGTTTTTTGATCAGTATGACGACTTCTTTGGGGACCATCTGTAATCACGTCTCCTACGGTTGTTTCAGTAGATCACGATTAACATCGGGCCATTATGACCTCGACCTTCTGGTCCTTATGTAGTCTTATTTAATGCGTTCTAACCGAATACCAACAAGGTTCATAACAATAAGACAAACCTGCACATAAAAGTGTTTGTAAAATGTGGTTATGTAGCCCCCCCCCCTGATGGACACAATACTGTTGGGGTTGGGATAAGGGGTTAGGGGACATAGTTGAGGTTACGGTTAAGGGTTAGGGAAACCACTTTTAAACCACTCATAATTCAATTGCACATTCCCAATAACTTTTCCTTTGCATACAATTACTTGACCTCGTCGACTGTGCGTTCCTCGGTCCCACCTGTAAAACCCCTTATACCAGCGGTCACGTATTACAGGTGGCTAGGTTTTTTTTACTTCAAGTGCGGCTTTATAACCACATCCGACCAAAATGCTTCCTAAACCGTGCTACAGCATATCCACCATTAAGATTTGCCTGCTATTGTCATGATTTCTACACCTATTCAAAATAATGGTGTTAGGTAACGGTGTTAAGCACAAAGGTGCAACTCGTTGTTCGATGAATTTCCACGGGAATCAACGTCTTTTGCCAAAGAGATTTGCCCTTAGAAACCGACCTCCAAAATTCCAACTAAACACCTTAACTATTTGTTCTGCAGTTGCCATTATAAGTACTACTGAGTATATCAGGAGCGACGTTTGAGACATCAAATGGGGAACCACCTCGCATATATTGAGTAAAAGCTGACTTAACCACATCTCTCAGATATAGAAGGACGGTCAAAATGCTCAGACTAGTTTATTGTAATTTCTTTAACAGGTCAAATTACATATAACAGAGGGTTTCTGAGGGACGCGTAAAACCATCATGACGCTGGACAGTAAGGGTGCAGTCAC